AATTTCTGGAATGATCTTTATTGTTGAAGTTGCTAGATTATGATTATTGTAGAAAATGAAAGACTATTCTAGAAACTTCTTAGCTTAATATATATAGGAGACATTTTTCTTTCGTATTACCTTTTAAGTCATCAGTGATCTTTTAAGTCATCAGTTACCTTTTAAGTCATCAATATATTTTGAGTATTTTTCAACTTGGATATTAAGTGATTTATTGGAGCTTGGATTATTTTATAATAGTTAAAATTATTCTTGTGGATTTTATTGTGTGAATTTATTTTAAAGTGTTCTTGGATTTAACTTGGATTTAACTGTGCTATTCAAAAAGGGATCATTCCAGGATCAGACTAGACATTTGAATTTTACATTTATATTTGGACTTCAGGTATTTGTACACATAATTTGTTGTTTTAATTTTCTTTAATAATTTTTCTGTAGTAAATTTATTATTGTTACAAGTTTGTTGCTGGCTTTTCTTTCTCGTTACGCCTGGCTCGTTACACACTTATATGTCTGCATTTATTTATAACATAGGTATTAATTGAAGCATTTATTACTTGTAGGCATGTACATTGTTCAGTATAGAATGGGGATTAAATGATGATAGTTTATACACCATTATGAAAAGCCCTACTACCAACCATAACCCTTTATGCCAGATAAATTTACTATTTGACACTTGCCTTTGTGGAGTTTTCATTGTTACTTAATATAAAGCTGCCATATTCGAGACTATTTATCACGAAATGCATAGCCACTAATACTGACTTAAAATACAAGTTTATGTTAATTCAGATTGGTTGTATTGGATATGAAGAAATTTAATGATATATGTATACAAATGTACATGATAAGTTTTTTTGTACATATAAGCTACATCTTAGCTTGTCTTATGCTCAAAAGTAATGGTAATGATACTGCAAGAAACACGAGCTTTAAAATCTTTTCCATGCTCATTTACCTGTGGTAAGAAAGGGCTGTGTATACATAGATTTAAATGTGAAATTACCTTGTCCGAAACCACATGCCTTAAATTCTATGAAACTCACCCCTTGTTAACATATAGATATATAAGAGTAAAATACAATTTCAATATTACTAACTGCTTTTACGTACACAGTTTAAAATCAAAATCACTGGCTTTTTATTTAGACCAAAGACAAAAAATAAAAGATAATTTTAATTAAATTTTTGAATTGAAAAAACCAAACTTTTGAAGACAATGTTTTCTTTCACTCAAAAAAGTATTTTTTATTGCATATTTGTCATATTTGTTTTTGTTTAACATAAATATAAGTCTGGTGTCAAATATTGCAGTATATGAAACAAGTAATTTTTTACTTAAATATGATTGATCAAGACAAAGGCATTCCATTCACTTTTATTACAATGGAAACGTTTCACATCTAGAAGTTTAGGATTGACTTTAAATATACAAAGACTTATTTAACAATAATTTGTTTCAACTGAAATCAGCATATGGGTGTTGTTTTTGCAGTTCTAAAAGATGAGAGGCAATATCACAATTTACTTTTATCAGAGCTCTTAAAAAATTCAATTGTAGCAAAACTGATTGAATGTGTAACAGCGCATTAGGATTATGCTTGACATTCAGTATTCATAAAACTTAAAGGTTTTGTCCAGTGTAGAATTCTGAACGCTAAGTAGTATACATCCTCTACATGTATATTTCAATATACATCTTCTACATGTATATTTCAAAAGGAAAATGAACAATGCACTCGACATTATAGTTTAACTAAAACTTCAGATTGAAATTCGATATCAAACGTTCATATTATTGATAATATTCATAATTGTAAACCACAGTTATGACAATAAGTGACAAGTAAAGGTAAATTAGTATGGAATTGTTATCATATTCCCATATGGAGAATAATAAACTTAAATTGATAGATAATGTATTCTCTAAAAGAAAACCGGCATGATTTAGTTTGCAGATATTCTTCCTTTTATTTCAGAGATATCACATGTAATCAGCCTTGATGACATTGTTTGGTATGGATATATAAAAAAACAAGGAAACGTAACATTTTTAAAATTCACAAAGAACAGTTCAAACAAGCGCTTTCTGCTACAAACGTGTAAGTTTTAGCTTCAATGTTCATATAGACATGAATGATAATGCATTCATTGGTATGACAAAAAGGCTCGAATTTTTCTTCTCTTAAACCCACTGTTCATTTGATAAACACTACCAATTGAACAAAAAATGAAAATTGTCGACTGCTTATCGGTAGAAGGTATAGTAAACATTGATTTCGCTTAATTTAGTTAGATACTGGGATTCGATAGATTACATATTCACAATACTGTACAGTCAGTCCCTCCTTTTTGCAACCATTTATGGAATTCAAAGAATATATTTGTTGTTGTTTTTTGAGCGAATATGCTTCATATTACACAGATAAAAGAGATAAATGTAATATTCTATGTGTAGCGCCAGTAAAAATGTAAACATTTTTTCACACCGATGTGAGTTTTGTATGTCATTTCCTTGAAAAAATGATCAATTTCATTTTCATTTTATACCATATTTTTAATATTTTATGGTATAATGATATTCGCATGGCTTCTATTGTTGAAAGCTTATTTTTTCTAGTTAAAAAGAAGATGACGACAATATTTCAATGAAATAAAGATATAGTCTATATTTACTTATATTTAGAACTATACAATAAGTTGTGTGAATTAATTGTATCTTTATTTTGTTCCGGTAAATTTTGTACAACTATTCATTGGTATTATTGTGAAATGTGTCGGTTTGTTTCTTTCACGTTTTTATAAATTCAAACATCTGTCATCCAACTCATTTAGGAAGCGTTGCAATTGATCATGATGTGAAAAGTAATTTAATATTCACGGACAAAATACGTAAACAATCGATAACATAATTTTATTTAGGTCCTGCAAAATCACAATATCATACAAATGACTTATGACTTATAATAACATCAATGGTGTTAAAAAAATTATAATTATGACATAAGATAACACAGCAATTATTCATACATGTACATGCATGTAAACTTAGGAAATCGTTAAAGAAACCGGTCAATTTTGCATAATCAACAACAACAACATCCCCAAAGAAATAATAAACGTCATTATTATAAAATCTATCATAATCTGCCTATAATGAGCGTGTGCTGGACATTTTGTGGTGGCGCAATATCTAAATAAAGTATAAAAAAATAAGAGATGTAAAAGCTGTGAAATATACATATGCCGACATCCACTTAGAATGATCATAAGGTTGATTCACTTAATACAATGACTTACCAGTTTTATGGAACGCCAAAGCTGCCTCATGTTATTACATTTATTTATAACTTGCTCAGAAAGCGTCTTATTATGTCAAATATAAGTCTTGTAATGCCATTGTAATTGGTCGGCTTGTCTAAACTTTGCCTTATTATGCGTAACAGTAGTCTTATATCTATAAAATGTGATGTGGACTTGTGTTAACATTGTTTAATTATTTCAAACAGTAGTGATATCATGTCAAATGTCGTTTTGGCTTGTCGGAATGTGTCATTTTATGTCAACTAGTCGCGCTATTTGGTCAAATTGTGGAGCTGTTTTGTCAAAAGACTGTCTGATCATTTGAACCAGTAGTGTTCTCTTGTCGTAATTTGGTGTTGACTTGTAAAAGCACAGCTTTATTTTATCAAACTGCCATGGAATTTTGTCAAAATACGGTGTTTAAATGCATTAACATTGTCTTATTGTGTCAAACAACTGTGTTAATTTGCCAACATACAATACTGAGTTGTCTTTTTATATCAAATATTCGAATTATCTTTCCGAAATTGGGTGTTGACTGGGCTTAATCATGCCTTATTATGATAAACTGTATTCTATTTTGTTAAAAAGCGGTTTTGACTTGTTTAAATTCAGTCTTATAAAGACAAAAAATTGCGGTATCTTGTCGAAGTGTGGTAATGACTTGTCTAAACTCTGTGTTATAATGCAAAACAGAAGTGTTATATTGTCGAAATTTCATGTTTTCTTGTAAAGCACAGAAACAGTCTTATTATGTCTAATGATTGTGTAAATTTGTTCAAATTTAGTTCTGTCTTGAGAAAGCGCTATCTGATTTTGCTAAATTGCCCCGTTATCTTTTTTGCTCAATCCCGGGCTCTGGTCACGTGATATTAAATTTGGACAACATCGCATCTGGACAGGATAACACGATTATCTGACATAATGAGACGGTATTTAGACATGTAACGTCATAAACTGGCAAGTCAACGCCACTGTATTACATAATACTACTGTGTTTCAACGAGTAAACACAACATTTGAAAAGGAAAAATGATAATTCGCAATAAAAGGACGATGTTAAGTAAAATTAACACCGAACCTTGACAAAATAAAATGACACTTTGACAAAAAGAAAGTAAAGTGTTTAAAGTCATCACTACGTTTCGACAAGATGATATGACTATTTGACATAATACGACGAATCATGACAATTGAATCTGCATTTGGACACAATAGCATGACAGTTTGACTGATTAAAATAGTGTTTAAACAGTGCATAACCATAATTTGTAAAGATACCATCGTTATTTCACATAATAAAACGGTGTTTAGGCCGGTTAACATAAAGTGTGTATAAAATAGCATGGCGATCTGAGAGAATAAGGAAGTGTTTAGACATGTCAATACCATCTTTCGACAAGTCAACAATACTGTTTGACATAATAAAATAACGTTTACACAAACAAACAAAATTCATTGGCAAGTCAACATTAGAATTTCACATAATAAGTATATTTATAGACAGGATAACAATAGTTTTGGACAAGAAAGCATGATGTTTTGGCACAATAAGACAAAATAACACCACCTCATACAAAGCAACATAACAGTTTGACAAAACAAGACAGCACTCAGCCAGGTCAATATAGCGACTGAACAAGATATCACTACTAGCCGACATAATAAGACATGATTTTGACAAGTTGACACCAAGTTCCGACAAGATAACACTACTTTTTCACATAATAAGACAATTTCTAGACAAATTACCACCACAGTTGGACAAGACAGCATGCTATTTTGACATAACAGACATTCTCTAAGCAAGATAACCCCGAATTTGAACACAATACCATGGCAGTCTGACAAAATGTGACGGTGTTTAGACAAGTCAATACCACATTTGGACAAGACAAAACGACAGTATAACATAATACAATAGTGTCATAACATACCAGGATCACATTTGGAAAAGATTACACCAACTTCCGACAAGATAACACTACTGTTTCACATGATAAGATAATTTCAAGACAATTCAACACTACATTTAAACAAGTCTGTGTTCAGACATATTGAAATCTTAATTCGAAAAGATGGCGTGCATGTTAGACATATTAAGACTTCCATTCGGCATGTTAACACCGGATTTGCACATGATAACATGACGTTTTGAAATAATAAGACAGTGTTTAGACAAGTCAGCACTACGTGTTGACAAGAGAAAATGAATATTTGACCTAATAAGACTTCGTTAAGTTAGACAGGTTCTCATAAAACGTTGGCAAGTCAACAGTTCTATTATACATAATAAGATGCTTTTAGGGAAAAATTAAACGAAATGTAACAACATGAGTCAGCCATGGCGTTCCATACAGTTTTCTATCTAATTGTTTGTCAAATGATGTCAGATTCAGAGACAGTAACAAATCCGACCAGTGGACAAACTATAGAGAACATTTTTTTCTACTATCTAATGCAGATAATGGGACCACACCACCAAGGACTACTTCATCATTACCAATAAAATCTTCATCGATTACCACTGCTCATACATCCTCCACTTCTTCAGTGAACGATGGTATCACGAATAGATCAGAACCTTTGCAGTCAATATCTGAGACAAGTATATCAGAAAGTAAGTGCAATCTGATATGTTCAGCACTATCAAATACCTTTGTTGTTTAAGGGTATATATAATGAAAGAGCAGCGAAACACGAAGCTATCTGATTTGTACGAGGGAAGTGTTTTGTAGTGTTTTTTTTTTTTAGTTTTTGTAGTGTTTTGATGTTCTTTCTCTTTTATACCATAGGAAAAAATAATAACATGTTCCCAATTTATGAAACCCCAGAAAAAAGTAACCGATGACCGAGCATCTGGATATGATATTCCTATCGCTATCCCTTCCTCTGCCGTCACAATATGTAAACCCCGGACAAAATGAACCAATCAATGGGCATTTTCTTGAGTGGGGGTAGCTATTAATGCACTCCAGTTAACTTACTGTGCATGCATATGTATTCGATTTAACTCTGACACATGTTCACAGAAAGGTCCCCAAACTATGATACACTCATTAAAAAGTCACTAACTTATTAATAAATGTTACTTTTTTAAAATCTGATGTTCAAGAAAAAAATTTGAAAAAAAGAACTGTAAGTTAAACATTGTATAATTAATTCATTATATAAACAGTTTACATGTAAATTAATAACATACAACTCAATCTTTTCAAGTTCTTAAAGGTACATTAACGAATAAAGGTTACATCTTTAGAAAGGGCAACCATTAATTTTATTACTTTTAAATACAAGTTCATATTACATGCTTATCATCTGAAGAAAAAAGCGCTGAATGTAAAAGTTTTTTCCCCATAAAAGTAGCAAAAAGTAAACAAGATAGTATTTTGACTTCCATACAAAATACTAGCTTTACTAATTTCCAAGAAGCAACAACGGCCAAAGACGGTTAAGGTTATTGCCCAATGTGTCGCATTTTGGAAATTTAACAGGCCACAAAAAAAAGAAAGAAAGAAAAAACAAAACAAAAAAACTTTTGAGAAATAAAAATAAAAGCATTTCTGGTGCATAATGGACCTTGAACTTTATCTACACACGAATCAATATATCAGATATATAATGTATGTATCTGAATTAAACGACATGTTTGCCTAATGAAAATTATGAGTACGTACAATGTATATATTTTCCTTCGCCATGAGGTGTACATAGTTAGTTCATATATATTTGTTTACAGGTTCTGACGTCAGTGTCCCTGTCAGCATTTCAGTTGTTGCTGTAATCATTGTGGCAGTTATTGTTACCATAATAACATTAAAAAGACGGTAAAATCAACATTTATAATATTACTCGAATTTTGAATGAATGTAAATTAAATTTGGCAACAAATTCTCTCTCTTTTTAAAAGAAAATTCGCAGCAATTTTACATATTCTTACACGCTTTATTATTCCACTTTATTTTATGCTTTTCAGTGGATTACTGATTTATCCGTGAAAATTATATTTGATAATTTCACAGTGAAAATTATCAAAATATAATTTCACACTTTTCAATGACGAAACAACATTTTTAAGATTTTCCCCATGCGTTACCTCAATTTTATTTTTGCTGACTATTCCGACAATGTCGGGCTGCTTAAAGAAAAGCAAAGCTGAAATTGATAAATAACTTACATATTAAAATTAAGAAAAAGAAGAAAACTTACAGTATGTCACTTCTATTCATTCAAATTACCAATCACCAAATGTCGTCTCTTTAATTTTTTGTTTCAATTTTTCAGTCTGGAAAATACATTCCCTCAATATGCAAAACTGCTCTTGATGACATTTGGGAATATTTAAGTATCCTACGAGCAATAACTGCCGTATGCTTTATGAAAACTTGAAAAGCAATGGCAGCTTTCACTCGAAGAATATGTAAACAACCCAGCGTTCGTAAGGCTTCCAAGTGTTCCTATCCACTTTTTTGAATATTTACACATCTGCCAACACTAATTTATTGTCTGTTACAATCCTCAAATAAGTTTTCTTTCTTTTAAAAAGGTGTAAGACTAACAAATCCAAATGATATCCCTCTGAATCAAACACAATTATTTTCCTCCAGTGAAATACACAACTTTAAAAATGGCGGCCGTTTACATTTAACAAAGCCAGGTCTAATATAAATTCGCAGTCAGTAACAGAAATATGGATGGATGGTTGGACTTTTTCTCCTACTAGAATTGTTTGTTTTTATTATTAAAACAAGCGATCAGAAATATTTTTTTTAATAAAATGAATACTATCACTACCTTTTAACATTGATTGTGGAACTTATTTTTCAGCCCATGACTTCTTGTATTTAATGAGAAATTCGACATTTTTTTAATATTAACGTAAATATTAAGGAAATTTTGCTTTAACCTGTTTTCAAGCATAAAATAAAAAGAAAATCTGTTTGTGTGTTGTGTAAGATGTAATTTTACGCCACTCGTGAGAATACTGTTTTTAAAGCCCACTCGATGAAATAAAATTTCATCTTACACACAAACAAACAAATATCCTCTATATCAAACAGATAGGGTGATCGAGTGTTTAATCATACCATACGAGGATGTGTCATTATGTGATGCAATATAACTATATTTTCTATTTAGCTCGAGATTCTCGTCTTTGTGTAAACTAATACATGCTTCAAAAAAGCCGCTTTCAAAATTTGTGATACCTTTATCACTAATAAAATAATAAAGACTTTTATTAATTTTACGAATAACTTCATGTAAACACGCCTGGTAAACGATAGAGGTACCTCTTTCGGAGGTATACGGTAAATCGCTCTATCGCTACTTCCGAGCTAGTCCATTGCAACGCTAAATTCGCTACTCAGAACGCCGCTACAACTTTATTACAAACACAAATTTATCAACTTTACGTTTTTTGGAAACTTTAATCAAATCTACATGGTATATCATTCTTTGATTATCTGTTTACAAAATATATTAAAGGTGACAACCCTTTTCCTTTGTTGACACCCAAATAAGCCCCAGTCACTAGCTCGGAAGTAGCAATAGATCGATTTACCGTATACATCCGAAAGAGTAAGCCATATAGTTTTCCGCTTAATTGAGTTAAACATCCATATATCAAGTCTCTTTTTTCGTTTTTTGATTACTTGATTGTAAAAATGATAACATATTTTTGTCTTGCGTTTAGAGTTATAACGCACGATCTTTCGTTATTTTTTTTTGCATTTATCACTCAGGCCTACCGGCCATCGTAAAATATTCCAGCACATTTGAACTCAAGCTATGCATTATTCTACAAGAAGGTATTTAATTCGATATATATATTCTAATTATTTTTTGAATTTGATTTATTTTCTTGAATAATGTATTCTTGAATTTCAGAGGGAAATTCCAAGGAATATGCACAAAAGAATCTGCAATTGAAAATTCATGTAGTAAGAGAAATGCAGATAAGATTCAACGTGAAAACAATGTTTACAACGAATCGCCAGTAGATAATTACGATCAAATTAGTGAATTTAAGGACAACAATAATCTAGACGTAAAACCAGATCATGACGTAGACAATGGTGAATACGGCCATACGTACTTCATCCTGGAGCCTGGTTCGAGAGAATCTCATACAGATGGTAATATATCAGACTCGAGAATAGATGGAACAGAAATGAACGATGATTATAATACATTACATTTAAATAAAACCTTCGGCACAAAAGCTGATGACACCTACGACACAACAGAGAAAGCAGCTATAAAACTGAAAACGTTGCATGATACAGGATGTGAAAAAGAATCTCCCGAAAAATTAAACGGAAATGAGGAAGACACATATAATCACATCAGCAGAAACCTCTTGAAAAATAACAAAACAGACAATATTTATGGCATAACTGACAATCAAGAAGACGATTATGGGAATGTACACAATGGTTGTGATAAGAATCGTCATAATGGAAATGACACATACAGTCATTTAAACACTACTCATTAACCGAACAAACATTTGTTTACACTTACTAAACTTATTTAAAAACAGTAATGTGAGGCAGTAATGTTTTCACTGTAAGGCTACTTAACTGAGAAGTTTGTGTTGTAATTATTTAAGAGTAAGCCAGTTTATTGCTTGAGTCTTACGAATCATCGCCAGTTTATAAGGAAACTTATGTGTGTTATATATCTGATGACTGAAACGGTTACTATGCAAACTTTACAAGGTTCATTCAAAATCTTCACAATATTGTATTTATTGATCATGTTTATACATTCAAATTATAATGCATATTTTAATACTTTTAATAGCGACATGTTTTGTTCTTCATCATGTGAAATGCACTAATGTTCGTATGTATATATATCTTGGTAACATGCTTTTCATTAACATATAAAATGTAGTTGCAATATCAGTTTTCTTTCTCACTTAGTGAAACACTTAAATTTACTTATTCTCCATATTGCATTTTATCAAGGTTTAAAGAGATTCTTTTGTAGTGATAGTATTGTTCTGTTAGTTTAAAATACGATTTTTAATGACGGCAATATTCAAAGTACAACACGTTTTTTGAAATAAATAAGAGTAAAGAAACACATAGTGTGTTGCTCTACTAGGATAGAAGCCAAATTTCTTGACATAGAAACAAGTTAAGTAACGAACCACATATTTTCATTAATCTATCCTTAATAAAAATCCATTTACTTTTTACCCAAACAATAGCTTGGTGGCTTATCTTTCCACTTTTAGGTGTTTAAAAAATTCTCGCACGACGAGTTTAGTGCGTATATAAATTTTTCATTTTTGAAGCTCCCGACCCCTACACATTGTTTTCCTCCAAATGGGCTCATTTTATATTCTGGAAGCAGGTCTGTATGACAGTGTTAGACACATGTCAATACCACATGCCAAGTTTCTAATATCGCATGTCGCTGGCATGGCAAGGGATCAAAGCCAACTCGACAGTTTCTTTTCATATTATATTAATTCCAGGCTTTTTCACCATCTTCCGGATTCCACAGTCACCTACTCGTTAGTCAGACTTCGTTGGTCAAAGCAATAGTTTGAAACCGCCTAAACGAAATTGCAAGATGTTTTCTATTGTTTTCTTGTGTAAATGCACCATTTATCTGCGTCCAACACGACACTTACCCGTTCGTCCGATCTCGTACTTCTTGTAATATCTTTTCAGTTACGGCAATATAAAATACACTGGTTGTCGGCAAATGCTCGTGTACCATATGCGTTTTTAATGCAGCAATTTCTTTAACTTTTTTCATTGCATACTCATAATACCACGGGGAGGAACTGTTACACGAGAGATGGAGTTCTTATGATAACTTGGTCAGGAGTTCTTGTGATAAATGTCACGGAGTTCGTCGAAAAACATTTGTATATACTACAAAACACTCGACAAAAATGGTAATTTTCATCTTTAAAAGTGAGTTTTAGGTGCTTAATTAAACTTTAATGATTAAGCTTGCCTTAAATCATGTATTATGTGTCCAAAACTAATTCATATGCCATTGTAATCGCCTCTTGCTTACAATTTGACAGTTTTTATTAAAATTTACAAATTATTTGCAAGTAATGACCTGTTTATTTCTGGTCTTCACCCTTGTCATACATAATTACTTAATTACAATGCAAATTTGCAAACATAAAACACCGGCTAACAAATTTGTACCCGATTTTTTAAATGTTCTGGACTTCTTGTGATAACTCTGAAGATATCTTAGAGTTCTTATGACAACTTTTGTAAATGCCAGTATGTTTCTTGCGCTATAATCACGACACGTTATAGATAGTTTAGAACTCCAGAACATTTGAAAAATCGGATTAAAAATTGTTAGCCGGTGCTTTATGCTGGCAATCTTGCATTATAATCAGATAATTATGTATGGCAAGGATGAATTCCAGAAATAAACAGTTCAATACTTGCGATTGGTAAAAAATTTGGAAATTTTACTCCAAACTACCAAATTTTAAGCAAGAGGTGATAAAGAACGGTATATGAATTAGTTTTTGACACATAATACAATATGTAAGGCAAGCTTAATCGTTAAAGTTTAATTAAGCATCTAAAACTCACTTTTTAAAGATGAAAATTACCATTTCTGACGCGTTTTTTGTAGCATATACAAATGTTTTCCGACAAACTCGTGAAGAACTATCATAGGGTATCATAAAGCTTTTGGAATGTTTTTGTCTGCGACAATAGTAAAACATTTGAAAACATTATCAAGAGAGATAAATGAGGTATTTTCCTGAAGAAGAAAATAGTAACGACATATCAGCTACTGAACCCGGCTCCTATAAAAAAACTTTAAATAAATGTTTGATTGTAGTTTTATTTTAGACTAAATTTCCATATCATATATTCTAATTATCTAAGAGTGTGTTGATATGTGAAATTGTTGAAATTGTTGTGAAATTGAAAAGTCACCATTTGTTTTAATTCAAATGTTGTTCGAATTAAGTATACGTATGTTTTATTGCACATATAGGTACTATTGCGTAATTGCATTGTTCTTTAAATTCAATTTAGTGCATAAGGAAATATCTTTATTTCATACGACTTTTAAAGTAATTGATTGTGAAACACAGCCAAACTCATTTTATATTCTTTTCTGATAGTCCTAAAAGGCATTAAAGTAAAAACGTGCAGTAAGAATTGTGACCTTTCAATAACGAATTTTTAACAATCAAACAAAACACAAAAAACACTGTAACAGTATCTACAAAAACACCGTAGCTTTGACCGCCAATGCTATTTTTTACTATAGAATACATCCGATATGACATTTAAACTTCATCATTTAGTATACTTATTATAGTGACAGCGCTTTTTTATATAATTATATATGCAAAAGCCACACACATATTGTAGCTTTAAGACTTCTCCAGATTTTAAATTATTAATGATTCATATGTGTCATCGGTTGCATTGTCGTTATTGTACTGTGAATATACTTGCAATGGTATTTAAGTGTTAGTCCTTATTTCTTCTCGGCCCAAAGTCAACTAAAACTACCAGATGCACAAATAACACTAGGTAGCAATTATAACTGTAACCATTCAAACTTAATAAATACTATAAAAGTATAACGGTAACACGCTTCCGGACTCAGGTTTATCAACACCTTTATCAAATCCATCTTTACTAACATTATATTGTGCCAACTCTATAAGAGGACTTAACTAACACAGAGTCTATAAAAGGAAGAAGGGAACGCAGTATGATTTACCGCGATGGCAAAAGAGTCTCTCTATGACCTTGCATTTCACATCACAAAATGCACAGTCTGTCCAATAGTGAGATGCACAGTCTGTCTAAAAGTATAATGCGCAGTTTGTTACAAGGTAAGATTCACGGTCTTTCCAATAGTGAGATGCACAGTTTGTCTAAAAGTATGATGCGCAGTCTGTTACAAGGTAAGATTCACGGTCTCTCCAGGAGTGAGATGCACAGTCTGTCTAAAAGTATGATGCGCAGTCTGTTACAAGGTAAGATTCACGGTCTGTCCATTAGTGAGATGCACAGTCTGTCTAAAAGTATGATGCGCAGTCTGTTACAAGGTAAGATTCGCGGTCTGTCCATTAGTGAGATGCACTGTCTGTCTAAAAGTATGATGCGCAGTCTGTTACAAGGTAAGATTCACGGTCTGTCCATTAGTGAGATGCACAGTCTGTCTAAAAGTATGATGCGCAGTCTGTTACAAGGTAAGATTCACGGTCTGTCCATTAGTGAGATGCACAGTCTGTCTAAAAGTATGATGCCCAGTCTGTTACAAGGCAAGATTCACGGTCTCTCCAGTAGTGAGATGCACAGTCTGTCTAAAAGTATGATACGCAGTCTGTTCCAAGGTGAGGTTCACGGTCTATCCATTAGTAAGATGCACACTCTGTCCAAAATTTATGCGTATGCCTTAAACAAGAAAGCATTTGTTTCATAATTGAAGTTCTATATACATGTAATTTTATTGTATTCAATTCGTCTTCTACACACATTTGAATTTTACATGTACTTAGTACCATCTGAGTATTTAGCTTATTTATTTGTTGTTTGACATGGGAAGATTTCCTTATTTTAAGATTATCTACTACACAAACTTTTCTATCTCCAACGTTTCGAGGGGTTAAACCCCTCTTTATCAAGGAGTTACTGTTTATTTTATATAAAACACATATTTATCTTCTTACATGTCTTATCTTTAACTATGTTATGCATACAGGAAATGACGTCGTTGACGTCAACAATAAAAATTACGCAAAATATGATGATGACGTTTTCCGTCAAAATTTTCTACTGCATAACGTTGCTCCCCTTATTTAATATTATTTATAATATTACCATAGCAAGAATTATGAAACTTATTTCATTGAAAATACATTAAAAATAATAATAATAATTATTATTATTAAAATTTTTTCTACTAAAACATTCAAATAATATTTACAATAGCATTTATATCAAAAAAACTTAATATAAGCTGTTTTGAAAAAAAATCATATTTCAACATCTATAATAATACACAAGATAAAAATGTTCGCCGGAAAAAATCCGCACCACTACCGTCATAATCACCATGTATTTTATTCCATTTCCAATATTTTCACATAATCCTTTGGTCCATCGACACAAAAGATATAATTCTTCACGATGATGGTCAATTTTAAACTTCAACGGTAATATAAAGAACGCAACAGCCGAAATAAACATCAAGATTATCGCCGTTTCTTTCCATTGACAAAATCTTTCCATAAATTCAAACTTTGCCCCAGCTTTGCCGTGTGCAAAATGCGCAGCGCTTTTAAGTTTGAGAACCAAATAATCGGATGGCTTCGTTCATAGCCGACTGGTTTCCATCTCCAGTGCTGGGATTGACAAATATGCAATTTATTTGGATTTTAAAGGCGTTTTGAGCTCCAAACCCCAAGTGTCTGTGCAAAATACTAAATCACTATTATAATTGCGAGGGCTATTTATAATGTATCAGTGACGTTCATGTCTATAAATAGAAATTTCGGTAAATGTATCGTCAGCTATACTAATTGAGTAAAGAGAGCGAACCGGTGTATAAGAGGGGTTTCCTTCTTGTTTATGTATTTCATCGTCCAAAAATTTTATTTTCCATCTTAATTATTTGATTTTACAATTATATGAAGCGCTTTATCTAAAAATAACACATTTAATCATTAGAAATCTTGAAGGCCACTTTAATAGCCGATAATTCATTCATGTGCCTGCTTTGTCTAATTGATTAAGAACATGTGAGATGCAGATTACCCGAAGAAAAAATAGTCCTAAATGTGAAAATTTAAGAAAAACAAATAGCAAAAAAAAATGTCAGAAAGGTGGCAAACTGTAAACAAATTGATATTTTGACTTCCATACAAAACAAATCACTATTCTTACACACAATAAAAGCGTATGGTAATAGGGTACTTATTGTAAAGAACTTTAACAAGACTCCGCAAATAAAAAGCTTTTTTAGAAATAAAAACAGTAACATTTTAAGGCCTAAGTGGCCTTTTAATATCGTTATCAAACCAATAAGCGAACAAACCACAAAATGACATTACAGAATCTACAAAAAGCCGAGTAGAGATAATTTCAATGGTGTTTAATATACATTCTATGGGGTACATTCAAGGGTTTAACTCTGTCTGTTTTCAATTAAGTCTAAACAGTAATGACTCCTGAAAATATTTGTAGAAATCAAACTGTATGGTATGATTTGAAAACTGAACTTTCCGATTTCTCAACAAACAGTACTTGTCACATTAAAATCATTATAATGGTTGACGGGGCTTTCCAGTATAAAGAGAGACCAAGATCAAGATTTCAATTCTATGTCAATGTTGAGTTATTTTAAATAATTGTATGTTAGCCATTTATGTGCCCGCTTTGTCTAATATATTTACCAAAGAGCACCTGAGATCTTCATCGACCAGTACAAGTGGACAGTCGCTATATGATGTTTTTTTTTACATTTTTTCCCAGTCTTGAAGTGACTTGAAAGCTCAACAGAAAATGTTCATTTGCGTCATGCCATTCATCTTATACCTGAATTCAATATTCATAAGTATTAATATATTAATTTCATCGTACGTGGCTTAATGCAAGTTTGAAACAATAACCCCGCTTAACTGCTTAGCTCATTAGGGATAGCATGGGATGTATAATCCAGTTGCCGCTTGTTCGATCCTCGTGCGAAATTTTTCTGTGACAACTGATCTCGAAGTAATTCAGAAATCATGTGGGTTACTTAATGTGTAACTAGTTAGATTTCCAGTAAAGCCGGCTAGGTTGGTCGACCGCCGAGATATGACAAAGAATTCGATCGAAAAAAAAGTGTAACAGTATTTAACAGCTATTAAAATTATATGTTGTAGCATTGGACAGTCATAAAATTGTGTTGCGGTATTGGACAGCTGTAAATACTGTGTTGCGGTATTGGACAGCTGTAAAAATGGTGTTGCGGCATAAGACAGGTATTAAAATTGTGTTGCGGATTTAGACACCTAAGGATTGTGTTGCATGGAAGAACAGCTGTCATTTTGGCTTCTTTTGGCTTGATAAATGGTCAAAACACATCAAGCTCATTCACTAGTTGTATATTTATATATAGAAGGTTTTTGATTATCTTGAGAGAATCTGACACATAATGTCATATATTGAATATATTTTCGCATTTAGTCATGTGCGTTGTACAAACATTGCATACAAATAGTTTTTACTCTTGATGTATGAGTATGTTTTGTTTGTTTGTTTTTTTCCTAATTGTTTTATTTATAATTGTTATTAACTTGCCATCTTTACATAAAAAGAGAGTTACGTTTCATCATTATATATCAATATATGGAAAGTTTGATACACAAAATTATTGATATTTTATAACTTTCACATCACACTGATGGTGATGGAACTCAGTATACACCCTAATCAAGGGATGTCAACGGAGAAGCTAGCCAACGCTCACATAATCTTGTGAAGGGTGAAAAAATGTTCGAGATGTTATAGATCTATTTCTTTTATTATACGAACATATCAATACTCAAACATGATTTCGGTATTTGAAACTAGTTTATCATTTCATTTTCTAACATTTAAAACCCATATGTACATGTATTTATAGTTAAGTAAGCGTATTTAGCACTTAAACAAGGGAGGTAATCAATACGGAACAGAATAACGCACATGATAAAGGTAAGAAATCGCAGTGTGGCATAGTAAATTAATCATATTTTCTTTAGAAATTAATGCATATCAAATGATAACCAACAATACATAAAAATTAACTGTTTTGCATTGGAATGGGCACGTTTGTGTTATATTTTTTATTATTTTAGTTTTATTCTTTATCTCGCTATTAACACTATTAATAGATAGTATATAGCTTTATACATTATGCATTTTATCTATACTTGAGATATCTTTAGATAAATCAATGCAAGCTGTGATTTTTTTTCTTTACATGACATCTACCTTGTATCATATCTTTCAATATATATATTTAAAAAAATTGAATATGATTTATTCAAGTGCAGTCACACTCCGGTATTATAACATAAGGTGAGGTAAAAGTTGTAAATATTTATGACCCAAGTGTTTAAGTTACTGCGCATTAGCTTTTAAGATACCTGGATACCGAGGAATGTGTCTAACTTTAAGTTTACTTCCTTAAGTATAAAACGCTTAGTAGTATTGAAAAAACATTTAATTGCACCATACATACAATTTGTGCAAAATAAATTTCCGAATTTATATGTTTATGAAATTTCTGTCATAGGAATAGTTTTGCAAGAGAGATTTTAACAACTATAAAACCTTAAACGATATCCTATTAAAGATTTCTTTTATTAATGTGTATTTATATCAATTGAATAAGTATGGGTAATTTGAAATCATTCAAGAAAATTTTGGGTAAAATATTATTGTTATATGAATGGAAAAAGGTCTATTTATATCAAAAATGTGATGGTGGAAAAGGTAGAGTTTGGGTATTATTAGAGTTTATTAAAATCCATCATAATATAATGAATAATATTATCATATTAAAAGATTATTCACTGCTGCAAGGAGTTTTAAGAACGATAAGCCATAATTTAATTTCAATCTTACTTTATCAAATGTTTTGTCACTTTGAACTGATATATTTTTGCATAACGTCATTATCAACAATGTCGCTTAAATAAAATAAAATAAATTTACAAAATGAACGACTAATTGAAATTGATATCAAGTTAATTTTCATTTAATTCTAAAATACGAACGGCTTCTTTTTCTTCTTTCCCTGTTTTTCACTTCCTAATTTGTAGTGCATTGTGTGACTGAAAGCCGAGGGAAGTGGCCCTGAATGTGGCAGAGGCGACGTGGAAGGTAACTAGGGTGCATAAGCCCCCCCCCCCCCCCCCCCCCCTCGAGACGATTTGAACGGCAGCACCCTATGCTAGCACACAGGGTCTCTTCATTTAAATTCATTATTGCCACTGGTTACTTTACATTTCGGTGCTCACTAGTCTAACTGCTGTACACTACCGTTTTTACGGCTCAATATTCATTTCATAGGCTTATACATTGAAAATTGCGTGGAGGTAACTTATCACAAGTTTGTGACTTAAAACAATCAATTAAGAGTATGACTGGCAACATTGACAACGAAATCTGCTTTTTGTGCCTTAACAGGCGACCCTTATTAAGCATAATGTTGGCTACACACATTCTATTCATATCTAATCTCACGTTTAAGTGTAACTATGTTTTTTTCAAAGAGATCTATATTTATGAAACGCAGGTTTACTTCCTCGTGTGAAAACGTCTTAACAGTGTTTAAACCTTTTATGGCGTAATAAAGAAATATTTCATGCTTAATAAATTCAATATTGATATTAAATAAATCAGTCAATGGAATATTTTGGTAAGAGCTGTCAACATTATAAACGATACATGTACGATATTTCATATGAGAAATTTTTATATCCATTCGAGTAGCACAGTGTGTTTTTTTTTAATTCACCGAATACAATCTTAATTAAAATTACGGTTATTCAAGTACAAAGTACATGCATATGAAACAAATGTATTATGGGCCAACTTATATAAAATGGTGGAATGTGGAATCAGGTATATGGGGACAATTATAATAAACAATAATATAAAATTATTATCATTTATCCTTAATTTGTTCAAATTATTCACTATGACGAGTTTCATAAAAAGAAAATACATTAAAATTTCAACATTTCAAGTTTTGCAAGCAGATATCTATTTGCGAATTTTATTGCATCTTTTGTCTCTCTAATTGATATATTTTGTTTACATTACGTCATACAAACCACAATATTAACAAGGCTTTAATATATTTATGAAGTGAGATTGTGGTGATGAAGCTTGAAGCTTATTTGAACCGATCTTGATAAAGTGTGCTTCCTGAAATTTACCAGTAAAAAGTTATATAAGAAACATTTTCAAACTCAAACTCATATACATGGTATCTTGTTGGTCAGACACCGGTACAGAATGCACGTCCTGAGATCTACGTAAAAGACATATCAAAAAAAATATTTTATATCCTTCAGATTGGGTGAGGAATAAACTTATTGCCGTGGCCTGTAGGACTCGAACACGATCCCGAGGTTTACAGGCAGACACATTTACCACTATGATCGCCTTTGTTGAACTTCACTCGTATATTTACTAGTTAAAGTTTTAACAACTTCATACCCCACATATAATGATTTTGGTACATGATTTATATCTGTTTATTTAAGGTTTGTTTAATTCAAATTCAATGTAATATTGAAATAGCTTAAGAATGAGTTGTGTAATTAATTTCATGCATATTAAAATCTTGCTTATTTAGAGTCATGCATATTAAGAACCGAGCATATATAGAACCATGCATATTAAGAACCATGTATGCATTTCTAGTATCATGCTTATGCAGGACTTGCACATAAACTCTTTATTTGGAACATATTTCTAAAATTTACCAAATGAACATAAAGAACATTCACCAATTTATAGTCATGATAGTTACAGAAACATGAATTAAAGTTTTCTTCACATTTATTAGCAGAAACACGCTGTTTTAGACCAATTGAAAATTTAGTAAATGCTTAATTGTAAACACCTTTACGTACATGTAATTGCCGACTGAAATCTTTTTGTTATCGTATAAAGTCGCAGTTCATATTTCGACTGTTTTTAAAATATTCACTTCCTTGTACCAGCGTATCATTTACCTGTTTTGAAAACATTTTTTATCTAATCACGTAAAAGAGGAAGAACGCATTCAAGAGTATGGTTGTGTAGATATTTTAATAAGTTTAGTTTTAAAATGTCGCGGACATTTGGAGTGTGTTGGATATTTCTTTGGATTTCGGCTGCTGCTAATGGTAATATAACAAATTATCTTTATATACAAAACATATTGACAGTTTAATTTATAACTTGAATACTATACTAGTATTAACTAGCAGAAACCTGATATTTTTTTAATATAGTAAGTCAGACAACCATGTAAAGTGTACATAAGGGTAAGATTTTGAAACAATTTGTTTAATTTTACAATAAATATAAAAAAGTAATTAAACTTCACAGTAACGCACGCAACTGAACTTTAGTGCAGAAAATAGATTGAACGGTAGAAAGAAAATAGAAACCGTCGGAAGGCGGAAAGCAAAATAAATCATGCCCACCTCGTATATATAAACAACATTGTACTTCAAATGGTAGCCTGGGATTCAGGTGTTTATATTTTTTGCTTATTCATAACATACTCGACCGTCATAGATAATACATCTTTGGTTTTGATAGTATCACAATTTGCCGAACAGAAGCACATACAAAATCGGAACCCAGGCTTTTCAAATGGTACAACTATGAAGAACCTTTCGTGAACATTTAGGTGGATGAAATACTAGATCTATTCTATGTTTATGTCGCGGTGTCGTTCTATGTTTATGTCTCCATGCCGTTCTATGTTTATGTCGCCTTGTCGTTCTATCGTATCTGTCGATTTTTCCTTTTGTTGTATTGTCAGATTTAAAATATCCCGCAAGTGACAAACTTAAGTAAGCAAAATGTGTGTTTTGTCACACTCATGTAATTTGCTTTATATCTAAACATTTACCTATATATCTTCCCTATCAATTCATTAAAAAGAAGACAATTTTACTATGTTTTGCACTGATGAGGGCACGTATCAAGGCGGAGAAGCACGCCGTTCGTTACCCAAACAAACAAGATGACGGATGCCTCCGAAAAGAAAGTTTTTTTTCCTTTTTTTCTCTGAAATTCGTGATGTTCTTGAATAAAGGTGCATATAATAACTTTCTTCACAATTTTCCGCGCACACTGGATTTTATTTCATGATGTTTCGTCCCGTACTTCTTTTGAAATGCGCGTCATTAGAATCGAAGCGAGATAATTGTCCACCGGTTTGATCGTGGTAACGTACGGCTTCGTCTCTAATATTGACTATAATTTCGTTTACATATCATTATGTATATTAACTGAAACCACTGACTTTAAAAAGTTGTAATATGAGTGTCATCAAACTTTTAGTAACGTCATCAGCCGTTCACCTCTTTTAAATGATAACATCGACAGCCATTCATCGGCAAGAATGAATAACACTGAAAGCCGTTCACGGAAAGAATTTTCAGCGCTTTTGTGCTAAAGTTACTAGGAAAGAGTAAAACTTTTTTGTTCATTTATAGAGGATATTGAATGAGTGTTAGTTCAATACTGAATTTATTGCACGAGTTGAATAAAATTGTATTATGCGAGCCTCTGGCGAGCATAATACTATTTTATTCAACGAGTGCAATAAATTCAGTAATGAACTTACACGAATTTAATATTCTATTTATCACATACCCAAAATAAAAACCGTTTAAAGTGAAATAAGAGTTATTTTCCGTTGACGCGCCGATAGTAGAATGCTAACATTTAGTAGACAAGAAAGCACATTCGTCTCATGTGTTTTTAGGGGACAAGAAAGCACATTTGTCTCATGTCATTTTTTATGAATTATTTGTCACGTATTTCCCCACAGCAGAAATTCATTTTTATATGCCCGAAAGAATTTCGGACATATTATGTTATACCCCCTGGCGTCCGTCTGTCCGTTCGTCCGTACGTACGTCCGTCCGTCCGTTAGCAATTTGGTTTCCGGAGCATAACTTAAGTTCCATTTGGCCCACAGTATTCAAACTTCATAGGATGATTGCCCATATTGGGTAGAAGACCCCTATTGATTTTGGGGTCACAAGGTCAAAGGTCAAGGTCACTATTACCATAAAACTGAAAATGGTTTCCGGAGCATAACTTAAGTTCTATATGGCCCAAAGTTTTCAAACTTCATAGGATGATTGTCCATATTGGATAGAAGACCCCTATTGATTTTGGGGTCACAAGGTCAAAGGTCAAGGTCACTATTAGCTAAATACTGAAAATGGTTTCCGGAGCATAACTTAAGTTCCATTTGGCCCACTGTATTCAAACTTCATAGGATGATTGTCCATATAAGGTTGAAGACTCCTATTGATTTTGGGGTCACAAGGTCAAAGGACAAGGTCACTATTAGCTTAATACTGAAAGTGGTTTCCGGAGCATAACTTAAGTTCCATTTGGCCCACAGTTTTCAAACTTCATAGGATGATTGTCGATATTGGGTAGAAAACCTCTATTGATTTTGGGGTCACAAAGCCAAAGGTCAAGGTCACTATTACCCTAAAACTGAAAGTGGTTTCCGGAGCATTACTTAAGTTCCATTTGGTCCACAGTATTCAAACTTCATAGCATGATTGTCAATATTGGGTAGAAGACCCCTATTGATTTTGGGGTCAGAAGGTCAAAGATCAAGGTTATTATTACCTTCAAACTGGAAACAGTTTTCGCTCAATAACTCAAGCATTAAACAACCTACAGCTAAAGTACTTTCGGGCATATAAGGCCCCGCCTAGCGGTGCGCTTGTTAGAATCGAGGTTCGCCGTTTTACCTAATGTCAAGTGTAATCATCAATAGGTTTGCTTATACTTTCTTTTTGAAAACCTAAAGTGAACTATTAATTATAATATCTTTAATTCAAGAAATTGGTTGGCTTATCCTTAAGGCGTACACTGAAACATACTAAATCCCGTTCACGATGATACAATGGTGACAGCGCGATTGCACGATGGTACGTTGATGAAAACGCGATGGTGCGATGGTGAAAACACAATAGTAGAACGTGAAACAACGATTAACGATGGTGAAACAACGAAGGCTCGATGATGAAAACGTGATGGTACTATGGTGAAAGGCGATGTAACGATGGTTAAAATACGATGGTACGATATGATGAAACTGCGATGACATGATGATGAAAACGCAATATCATTTTTTCTATCGTGTCATCGCATCATCGTGATTTCACCATCGTGTTTTAATCATCCTACCATACTACCATCTCAGTTTCACCTTTGTACAATTGTGCATAGCTGTTCAGGGAGACAAAAAAGGTTTCTTATGTCCAAACGGAACACCGTAATCGGTTGATATTGAAGGACACAATATCGTGACTCGTTTCGCATCTCGTTTGTCGACGCGAGGGAAGAAATTGAATACAGGTCATACGAGTATACCGCTAAGTTGTATTTATTCCCTTTATAGTCTACATAAAATCATTTTAAGGCCCATTATGGCTGAGAAATGCTTTTATTTGTATTCCACAAAAGCGTTTTATTTTTGGTGTACTTTTATAGCTCAAAACAGTTACTCATTGGCTATTTACCTGAAGCATATTTCTATCTGCTGCTTTTCTGCAGTTTGTACAGTTGAAGTGATTTAGAATTTTGTATTGAAGTCAAAATACTACTTTGTTTACGTTTTGCTACTTCGCTTCGTGTCTCATCGGAATGTCGCGTCTCGCCCGGTTCTGAGTGGCCCGATATTCCATAATTATGGCATTACCCGGATTATTTTAGGAACTAATGCATGTTGTAAGTGTTTTTTCAATGGCGGATCTGAAAGTTGTTGGAAAATGACGATATTTTTATACAAATATATCTGATGAAAACAAAAAACGTGTGAAATGGTCTTCTTATTTTCTACCATAGATCATTTAAGGGCCTCCGTGGCCGATTGATTTCATTAGACCACTTGCCCCTAACCGCGGTAGGTTCGACACATACACGGGGCGTCGAACTATTCATGCCAGGATCCCGGTCAGGGTCCAAATCCGGAATACATATCCGCGTGCGCACGTGATAGAGCTCTATTGCGTGCGAACGTAATAGTATCGCGTGGCCACGTAAAAGCTGCTATCGTGTGCGCGCGTAATAAATAAGAAAATTCTATGCTCCCTTTATGCCATCGTAGATACTACCTTGTTTTTGCTAAGAATATTCCTAGTGCCATAAATCATTGATAAAAATTTAAGCATTTAAACTAGACGTATCACAATTAATAGCGATAATAATAGACTTGCTGCATATGTGTTTAGGTTCTTGATGCTGCACTTGTAGAAAGTGTCATTGTGACATGCAGAACAGGGATATTCATGACTCCTATGCAAAGACAGAAAGTTTTTGACTGACCGGAGGTGACCTAAAAACGGTATTATAAATACAGAAAACACAGAACAATGGCTGGTAGCCGAAATACAGATGGGCATAATTATTACCTTTTAAGAATTTTATGGAAAAATCTGAGACAAATGTGCTTCGAGTGTCCTTTCTATTGTGTGTCGAACACATCTGTCTCATTTCCAATTTGTCGCAAATATGAATGTTTACGAACACGTCGGTCACACTTCGTGAGACAAATGTGCTCCGAGACAAATGTGCTCCTACAGGGCTTTCTTTAGGGATTCTGTTTTTTCTTCTTCTATATTTTGTTGTAAGCATGCCCAACATATTTGTGCTAAGTTTAAAATCCATAAAGGAATAACAGAATTGTTGACTGGACCCAAAATCAGTGCATTTTAATGTAAGAATTACTTTCAAATCAAATTGTGACTTTGACTTTTCAGTTAAAGACCCATACCGGTATTTTGTGTACGAGAATTCAATCTCAATTCGCTTCACATTTATGCAAACTTATTCAAACATTCTTCTATAAATAACAAAGTTATGGATCAGACGGACACAATGAAGAATGATGGGACGGAAGAACGTCTTTCCCATTTTTATCATTTTTACAGGGCATAAAGATTGAAAACTGTAGTTTCGATTTGATAAAAATCGAAGATGGATTGTCATGTATATAACCAATATTTGGTAATTTTGACAGATAGATGTCGTAAATGTTTAAGTATTTTGATTAAAAATCGTACTTTGTATATAAGCCTGTAAATTATGAAATATATTACAAAAATATTGTAAAAAAAATAAGAAAAAATAAGAGAATGAAAGATATGTGCTTGTAAACTTCCTTAATAGGGAATGCCGCATGCACAAGATTATTGCTAAATGCTTATATGTTGTGAATAACAGAGACATTCTATGTTACAGTTATTCGAGAATTCGCAATAAACTTTCGGATGTAACATAATTTCACCATTTATAGATTTTTTTAAAAATATATTTTATTGATGCTCAGCTTTGAGCCTTGCATCTCTGAAAAGAATATTTCAAAACGATTTCACTTTTGAAGTCTACTTGTAGCTCATTCTTAGTTTCAGAGGAAATTTGAATGAACTTAACGAGTAATACGCAATTCAAATAAAGCGAAGCGTTTCATATACACATTTAGATAAGGCTACTACAGAAACCCATAAGTGATAAACGTTTCGCTTGACACTCATTAGTTTGTCTATACCAACGTATCTATATTGGAAGATTGTTTCATTAAATATTCATTTCTTACATCATTGCAGTTACAGCTTATTATGTCCTTTCAAATGAAACTGCCTCGTGGGACAATGCAAAAAGTAGGGGAAACTTTGCAACACCAACAATTCAAGGGAATAACTCTTCTTGGTTTAATATCAATATAACATCTGACCTAAATGAAAATGAAACAGCATGGGTTGGATATTATAAGAAGGAAACAGCCTTTGCTTACATTGGTAAGTTCTTATTATATATCATGTCATTACTTGTACATAAACAATAGTTGGTAATTGCTTGTTTTGCCATGCCTTAACAGCAGTATTCTTGAAGAAATGAAGATTATGTACGTATTATCAATGAAATATAAACACTTTTTACAGTATCATGAACAACAACCTTAGCGTTTATAAAAAAGATATATAAAAGATACCGGGGTATATAAAAAGATAGAGCAAAATTATAAGATAAAACCATTGACCATAACTTTTGACCTTGGTCTTGAAATGAGCGTCTGGGTTTTAATTTACAATCAATCATCATCATCTTCATAATTATATTGAATATGCTACCGGGGCGTCTCCTCAATGTTGTCTCTGATTTTTTATTCTTTTTTGCGATCGATATTTTGTCAAAGTTGGACAGCATTAAATAATCATGAACGTTATTCCAACGGGTCATAAGTAAGAAGATAAGTAAGAAAGGATTACTTGATAAGCCTTTTGATCTTGAACTGTGACATACTAAATGGGAAACCTTAAATATAAATTGCAAATGTCGTTTTATTGAGCATCTCAAAAGATTCAGAGAGGACACATCATTGCTGGTTTAGAACTGTTAGCAAGGACTTAGAATTTCATTTCCTTGAAGAAGCTATCCAGGTTAGCAAATGGAACTTCGATGACTCTACTCAGGTGCCCGCTCGTGCCTCAAATAAGGCAAGGAGGGGCACCTAAGGTCTTTCTCTAACAGTAGAAAGCCTGTGTTGAGTTTCTGCAACGTAAAACCCTACCCAAATATAAAAGTTACGTATTTCAGGATGTAGCCTATTAAACAAAACAGTACCAAATGGTTTGTTGCCGACAAGGAAGAATTCCCCAGGCAATTGCTTTTCATTGTGCAAAGAAACATATCACAGTTATATTGGATTAAACAAAGGCAATGTAAGCTCTCCGAAAAATAAACAAGATAATATTTCGTGTTTATCTGTAAATATCATTTTGTCTCCAATAAAATACTACGGAATAGCACAGTTGTTTAAAACGTAATTTTACTTTCAGCAACTAGTTTGTATTTTTTAAAATATGCCAAGGCTATTAACTAGTTTCAGCATAAGTATTTTTATTTTCTTGAAATAGCATATAAGAGTAAAAAGAACTGTTTAGATGTTCATTTTTGTATGTTGTTGCAGTGTTTTTGCCTAAGTGAATTACCAAGTGGAAACATAACATTGAGTAAATGTGATATTTCTCCTAATGGAGATTGGATTGCTGGTGGAAACGATTGTATGTCATTGTACCAAAAGATCAGAGCGGGTATTATGATAGTTTGAATAATTGTAAGATGAATAACTTTAAAATACTATTTGTACAAAACCTTAAATTTGTTTTAGCTTTCACTTTTAATAAGTTTCGCTTCTAACTTTACCACTTGTACCGCGAAACATAATAAAATGGCAGTAAACATGTTTCTGTTGATAAGGTATTCCATCGTGTATATCCAGTAACGCCGGGATGCAAAAATAACTAAAAAAAATAAATGGAGGATACTAGTACCTGGCAGGATTTACAACGAGGTATGTGAACTTGCAAAATTTTTTTTTGTATATTACCGTTTTGAGTGTAATTTTGGCTTTTTACGAGGTACGTGAATAAACATATATATAGTCTAAAGAGTGAGAACAATGAACATTTTTATAATAAAAAAGGCATATTTTATAACTACCATCTCAAAAGATATTGAGAAATTCCTATTTATGATAAACGGTTTCAACACCGTTGTATCCTAAAGTAAGAAATTGCATTGCTTCGTACTCATTTCAAGACATATACATGTATTACGAAGCTTATAGCTCTATGGTTGCAGGGACCGATTCGGTGTCTATATTTACGCAATCAAACTAAAATAAATTCTGTATGAACTAATTTAAGTTCCCCCTACAGAATTTTTAGAATAATGCTCATACTCACCGATTAATGGCGTTAAACAAGTGTAATAATTCAGCACTATATATGAAAAAACCTCATTTTCCGGTGTTACCGTGAAGCGCTATCCACGTACATCGGCGTAACCTCATTAAATAGACTTTTAAAAATCACATTTTATCAGCTTATTTTCAATTTTCTATGCCACCAGAAGTAAAGTAAATGTCATTTGCCTACCAAAATATCGAAATTATACGGTATTATCTGCATTGTTGTACTTATAAAGAGTCGAGAAAAAAACAAAATTACACTCAAAACGGTAAGCATGCCATCATTTTCACGAATGATCTTAAAAAGTAAGCAATTTCATCGAAATAATCTTGATGAGGGTAAAGTATTACGTCTTTGCAGCCGTATACAGCTATTTCTTTTTTCAGTTTGTTTAATGGCCAGATTACTTACCGCGTTGAAAATCCTGTCAGGTATCCGTTATTTATTGCACAATTCTGCTTAACTCTTTGCACGAATCGTTCATAATTTCACATTCAATTCCGGCGTTACTTGATATACACGGTGTAATCGTAATCGACTCTTTCTTCTTAGATATACATGTTACAAGAGGCGGGAATAGCGGAAAATGTCTTGTGTTTGAAGCAAGGAATAATGAGCTTTATTGGACACGGTGTGAAGAATATGACCAAACACTATGCAAAAACGGTTTGTGTTTTCAAGAGACTCAAAAACAAAGTCTGTACTTTTCAACTATTCAGTTTCTTTTATCTCATTGAATTAACAGTATATTCTTGATAATGTATAAATATTTATTGTTTAACTCAAATTTACATATTGCTTTATATATTGCATTTTCTATGTACGGTTGTTCATCGTTTATTTCTATGCATTTTTAGTCGGTTAACATGACGACATGTTAACATATAGACAAATGTACTATAAAATTTCTTGATAAGATTGGTTTGTATATTAAACCAAATGGTTAATTATTAACAGAAAAAAACCCGTTGACTAGTGCTGCACTAAGACGGCCCTACAATGCTCTGTATCTGAGTGTTTTTTGTTTTGTTTTTGTGTCAAAAATACAAATTACTGATAATTTCTTTACTTTTGACTACTTTAATGACTTTAATTTATTATTTTCACACTTGACCATAAATTGCTGAAGAAAAAATGCAAGAACTGGAAGAACAATGTATGAAACGTGTAAAATAATAAATTCGAGTCATTAAAGACGTTATAAGTAGTTTAAAATAAACAACTTAACAGTAATTAGCATTATAATTACCCCTTCCAATTCAAAATATGTATTATATTATATTTATAATTTTATTATAGTCTGATCAATACATACATATACAATTAAAACAATATACATACAGTAAATTGTATAGCCATTCTTTTAAGAATTATAACAGACTGTTATATAGTTTATAAGACGGGCAACTCCACAGTTCATATTACAGAGATCTATAATATCTACTGTAGATCTACCTCCCTTATTTACATAATTATACACATTAACATGTCAATATAAACACATCATAATTAATATCTCTAAGACATTTACAAGTAAAACAGCATATTCCAAGCATTGAATGTTATACTTAAAATAATTAAATTGTACTAATATCTATATCAACAACTTAACTGTATGAGTAATTTACGGTGGCACACTGGTGACATGTGTGTGTTTTTATTTATTTCGTGGCCACGAGATACTATGTCGTGGCCACGAGTTACTAAGTCGTGGCAACGAGATAGCTATGTCGTGGCCACGAGATACTATGCCGTGGCCACAAGTTACTAAGTCGTGGCCACGAGATAGCTATGTCGTGGCCACGAGATACTAAGTCGTGGCTACGAGATACTATGTCGTGGCCACGAGATAGCTAAGTCGTGGCCACGAGATAGCTTAGTCGTGGCCACGAGTTACTAAGTCGTGGCCACGAGATAGCTAAGTCGTGGCCACAAGATACTATGTCGTGGCCACGAGTTACTAAGTCGTGGGAACGAGATAGCTAAGTCGTGGCCACGAGATTATAAACCAATCAGAATACACTATATATATTATGAATTTTTAAACTTAAGAACTTACTTTTACATGCATCATTAATCTTTGAAAATACTGAAGATATTCACTTTGAACTTGTCTTTAAGATCATATTAGAAAGTCACCTTCCAAGGCCCATCAGACGTTAATTTTGACTATAGCTCTTTGGTCGGCAAGTTTGTGATCGAATTGGTCAGTTTGTACGTTTGTACGGCCTGTTAACCTTGTTTATACGATGACATGAGAAGGAGTAAGTCCTGGTTTATTTTATTTGTAAGGGGCATTGCCCATAGACAGTAAATAGCCTATAAGGTAAAATCCTTGTCTGATGAATAATTTAGAAGGGACAAGCCATGGTAAATGTAACCCAGAAAGATCATTGCACCTGATCTGTAGATGACATCTAATAATTTCGAGGTCATTGGGTCGAAAATCAGGGTCACAGTGACGCTAAATGTAAAATTATTGACAAGGCAATAATTTGTATAAATGACACTTTTACAGGCTGGTGAAGTTGTACTATAGCACATGTCTAGTTAATTAGGGAAATTCACATAAATGGTGTAATCTGATTGGTTATTTATCTCGTGGCCACGACATAGCTATCTCGAGGCCACGACTTAGTAACTCGTGGCCACGACATAGTATCTCGTGGCCACGACTTGGCTATCTCGTGGCCACGACTAAGTAACTCGTGGCCACGACATAGTATCTCGTGACCACGACTTAGCTATCTCGTAGCCACGACTTAGCTATCTCGTGGCCACGACTTACCAACTCGTGGCCGTGACATACTATCGCGTGAGCACGACTTACTAACTCGTGGCCACGACATAGTATCTCGTGGCCACGACTAAGCTTTCTCGAGGCCACGACTTAGTAACTCGTGGTCACGACATAGTATCTCGTGGCCACGACTTAGCTATCTCGTGGCCATGACTTAGTAACTCGTGGCCACGACATAGTATCTCGTGGCCACGACTTAGCTATCTTGTTGCCAAGACTTAGTGTAACTCGTGGCCACGACATAGTATCTCGTGGCCACGACATAGCTATCTCGTGGCCACGACTTAGTAACTCGTGGCCACGACATTGTATCTCGTGGCCACGAGATAAATAAAAACACACACATGTCACATTTGTGCCACCGTAGTAATTACATTAGATCTAGGGTTGTTATTATTGAAATCGAAGAATGAAATCTCATAACTGTACTAATTCCTAAATGGTTATCTCCTTATAAAAGTACTAAAATCATCTATACATACTTATTATATTTTGTCTTTATGCATTCTAAAAGTTTGATAACAACCACTGACCTCAACTTAAAATCTGCCAATCAAATCTAAATTTTGTAAATGTGGCACTATTGCGCATAATAAAAAATGTCTTACAAAATCATATATCACTCATGGTCAGACCATGGATGAACTGGTCAGTGGTGATTATCACAACAGGAAGATAAAATATTCTAATTGGTTTAAAAATACATTTATAACATTTATACAATAAATGTTCTTTTGCTATTAAAATGCTCATTTTAGGCAGGAGGTGAAACATACACATCATCAACTTCAATTTTTTTTAATTAATAATGTGTATCCTCACCCTCCACCTAAAATGAAGCAATTAAAATATATATTTATTGGTACAAAAAATCTTTTCTAACATTATATATCATAACAGGATTTTGCAGTATATTTGACACTATTTTCATTTGACAAGAGGAAGCAAAGCTTGGCAATATCATTATTGAAATTAAACAAAGTACAATTTTCAGCAGCATTTTCAAATAATTTATTGCGAATATCAGTGTACTGGGGGCAATGCAATTATACGTGCATCTCATCTTCGATGTCATTATTACAAGTAGGACATACTCTATCGTTTACATTTAATTTTTCGTATCTGTCAATCTCCAATCTGATTGGTGCAACACCACATCTAAATTTAGCCAATGCTGACCTATGGCGATAAAAATCTGGAAACAAAGTGATCCCTCGGAAGCATTAACCACAGCAAAATTACAAGATAATTGCAGACTCGGTTTGATTGAGTCTGTACATGAGGGATACTGAATAAGTGCAACAACCCTCACGCCTGTCCAAGCATTTATATGAATATCAGTTTTATTATAACCGTACCATTTATAACCAGTCATGTCAATAATATCGTTACTTCTCAAATAGGTTTCTGCAATACCCAAAATGTCTAAGTCCAGAATACTGAAACATGCTTCCCTCAATTTAAAATTATCAGAGTTATTAAAAATTAATGTTCCAAAATCCCATTTCCATCAACAATGGCCTCTCTGACCACGACTCTGTCTTTGTCCATCTCTATTTCCTCTGTTACCGCCCCTGTTGTTGCCCCTTCTACCGTACCACGCTCCATTGTCATGTTACTGATCCTTATAGGAATTACCGTCAATATCGTTACTCGCCTTCGCACTCGCGGCACCACCATTTCGAAAACCGGCATTACCCGATGAGCTTTTATTTCCTTTGTTACCCGATGACTGATTTCCTGTATAACCAGATTCAAATACTTGAGTGCCCACGACCTTCAGATTAGACCGACCATTGTTTATAGCTTTAACATGCATACGCATATTGGTAAACAACTGCCTCTCCTCTTTTGTTTGGTAGCTGTTAATGTAGACATTTGTATAAAATAATGTCTCTCCAAGTTTGTTTTTTGTTTTCAGAATCTTACTTTTGTCCTCCTGACTTCTACACTCACACACTACAATTCCTGGAACATTCTTCCTCGTAGATTCCCTTCTAACCACATTAACAAATGAAATGTCCGGTATCTGCAATACTTTATTCACCAAGTCTGACATTCTTTTTGTAATATCTTCAGAAACATTGTACGGTAGATTCCGCACCACAATATTGCGTGTAGTATCTTTGTTGCTTACCTGAGTTTCTGTAGTTTGCAATTTGGCCATCTCTTCCAACCGCTGATTCACTTCTTCCATATCATTTGTTAGTTCAGACTTTAAATCACTTAGCTGGTTTGTATGCCTTGTGAAGTCGTTTTTAATCGTTGACACTTCAGTATTAATGCGTTTGTCAAAGACTTTTGTGATATACATTATCTGATAAATTGTAATTAAATGACAATTTTCAATGGCACATTTTATGTAAAAATGATAATTCCTGTAATATAAGTAATGTGAAAACAATTCATTCAACAATAGCAAGAAAAAAAACCAAACAAAATGAAACAAATGGACATGACATCTTTGAAAAAAAGTAGTCTTTCTACTTGTTTCGGCACTATTTTCCCTTTTTGTCTATCAAAAAGTATTTAAATATTAAACATACATAATAAAACATCATTTATGTAATACTCGTATTTGAGGTACAGAAATACATTTGAAGAATATATGATGTAGTTTTATCTGTCAAAAATTATTTAATTTGAAAGAAAATGGTAATTTTCATATTTTTACTACATTGGATTTCATGCACCGCACCATTATTTGAAGCTATCACCATTGACATTCTTACCATTTAGATATTCCTTTAACAGATTCTGTACAAATTATAAAGGGAACTTTTACGCACACATTACTAGACCACTTACAAATATCACATTGTGTCACAACGCGAATCCTCAAAACAGCGTCAAGTATACTCAATAAATTACCGGTAGTTTATAACATTGACATTTGGCGAAACGTTTATGTATGTCACATAGAAAATGCAAAATTGTTTTCATTTTATTTTGAATTTTTAACATAAATTATGAAAAACTTTAAATAACGGAACTCAAGAGTTGAAATGTCATATAAAACATTATCAAAGTGTTATATATTATTGCAAGCTTTATAACATTGTCCTGTACAAGTTTATCACAGTTTTATTTTTTTAGATTCGTTTTTCGCATGACTAAAGATGAAATTTACGAAACTGATCTTTTTAAAGTCGTATGTGGTATGGTCAGCTAAAGACATAAAGTAGATTGATATAAATATATTAATAGAATTTAATTTTGCATGATCTTCATTTAAAGCAGAAATTAATTGGGGGTCAGCGACCTCTTTTTTCGTTTGAGCAACCTTTATGGAAAGGCTAAATCATACAGTCTTACAAGTTTAGCTTACCAAAATTCCTTTTAGAGCAATACTAAATCTGTAAATATACGTAGTCATAAACGGAACTCCAGGACTATAGTATGGGGGTTATTCGTTGGCAAAAATCCAGCCTTTGAAATTTGACAATGCATACTTCGGTTCTACTAAACATATTAGTAAAAATCTAATATTGTCGTTCCGAGAGTTACATACTGCATTTGAATTTAAGCGTTTTGATTATCTCGATTTGAGAAAATGGAAGGTGTTAACGCGCAACTTAGATAAATTGCAAACTGTATTACTTCAAATTTGCGACATGTAGAAATGTAGCGACATGTAGAAATGTAAACGATAGAACGTACACAACACGTTTAATCCTTGAGAGTGTAACTGCACCAGTTAACACTCTCAGGTTGACAACACCACTCTTTCTTTTTACATTCTCCTCGCGATTAACATTTGTAAACGATTTTGCAACTTCCATATAAATTATAGCATTATCACGGAAAAAGACGAAAGTTAATAGGCGGAGCCAATTTTCACGAAAGCAGAATATAAAGAGAGATAACTGTTGCTGGTTCAAAAATATTTCAAATGTCACATACATCAACTGCATTACAGTTAACTTTGAATATCCTCTGATTTTGTTAAAACGTATTCTAGCACAGGATATTCAAGTAATGAAAAATTGTTTAAGATATAATGTAACAACGTTTATACTGATAATGAGCATGATAATATGCAAAAACTAAAGTTGGTGAATTAACATAAGGGAATGTTTCCCATTTAATAAGGACACAAACCACATATGGCGCTGAGCTGGCTGTTCATCGACTTCAAACATTACAACGTTTTAAATTGTTGAAGAATTCGTACGAATGTCTTTTACATTCAGCAAACAGTAATAGAATGCGATACATGGAAGTCACTTTTGGCAACACGGATAAAGAGAACTGAACAGTAAGCCTGTGCCTTCTTTCTTTAAAGGACTATATTGGGTTGTAGAAAAACCCAAATTTTTGACCAAGTGTATAACCACGGAACTATTCAAATATTACTATCGATAATTCCGTGGTATAACCAAAAACTTGTGACTTTGTCCCATTTTAATGTTGAAATAAATATTTAGTGTATCCTAGTATCTCTGTTTACCTCCATTGGGAGGTATTTTGAGTCCTATAATTTTAACATTAAATATATGTTAGCTGACGCAAAATTAAAAAGAAAATCTGTTATTATATCTGCTTTATATCTATGCTTGATTGTATACTTCACGTGTGTTATTTAATAGAAATACGTAACGGTGGTTTTACATGAAGAAATTGCGATGTCGTGTGATAAAAAATGTTTAAAATGTATTATTTATTAACTTTTCAATATTAGGCACGTTTTCACTTCAAATGTAAGGTTAATATGAAGTTCACTACGACATTATGAACATAAAACAAGGCCATTATGCAAAAGATACGGCCTTTATGATAAAACTCGGCTATTATGAGATTTGAGAATTTTGATTGTCTCTCCAGCTCGGCCATTATGAATCCGCTTTTTTTTCATTGAAAAAAGTCGCCATTTTGAATTTGCTGCAAGGTAGGTTCCGAGACTTTTTAAAACAAGACAACAACGGAATTTCTCATACGTTATTCTCGGGTAACTGTTTAAAGGAAACTCGACAGGGCCTTGTTACCGCCACAATCAGTTACCCTCGAGCTAGATATTCCGGTCTGTACCGGCAGCCACTGTAAAATTCTTATAACATTTTACATTTACAAAATCGTCGCATTTCCATAACAGCTATTTTGCCGTTATATGCTTATTATAGGGAGGGATAATTTGACATTCAACATCTTCATAGTCTTGTAAAGTTTACACAAATTGTACCTGAGTCATTCTATATGTTCGCAACATTTTTGTCCTTGGACAAAAACGTTGTACTTTTGAGAGATCTACTAAAATTGTATGTAGTCAACAATTTGATGAATGAGTTCACACTAAACTCAGTAATTAAAAAGCGGTAGAGGAAAAGGTAACCAATCTGGATGATAAACTCAATTAATTATCGCCCGACTTAGATGAAAGAGTTGTTAGAATTGAGGACAAATCAAGTGCCTTAAAGGACACAGTTGAATGACATGATTCTAATTTCGATAAAACAAAAAAGCAGGTATGAATTTTACAGTCTGAAGATTAGAAATTTAAAGAGACCATTACAGATATCCTAACAAAGTATATAATGTGTAATTGATCCTTGTTGGGATCAAAGAAACAAAAGATGAAACAAAAGAAGACGCTTAAAACTATTAAAAAATACTTACGGAACGATTAAAGATCCCGGATCAAGGTATTCCTAGGCTAGAGATATTGAGCGTAAGAGACGAATTGACGTTCGGGAGCAAAGCAGTCCCCGTATGGAGCGGTAATCTAGAAATAGCATATATTCCGCCTTAAATAACCATGGAAACGCCACAGCGGCGCGACCTTTATTGAAATTTTATAATACATCAAAGTGCATGATACAAAAATGTATTATGTCGAAAATTTACCGGGACTTGGTGTAAAACCCGGAACATGTCATTTTGAAATTTTACGCCATTTGAACAATGAATTACTGTGTCAACCGTTTTGTAATTGTAACGTTATTGATTCAAAAACGTCGTCATTAAGAGCTTCTTTTAAACAGAAATTCAATTGTTGTAAATATTTAAGTTTAAAAATTCCAGGTGTATAAAACGTTCAAAATCATATTTGTACCTTTGTTATATGAATTATACTTCACCTGTTCAATGATATAACATGCTTATTAAAGGCAGGCACCGTGTCTTTTATCTAGCGGTAAAGTATAAAAGTATAACTGGTGTGACAAAAGAGAAGGTCAATTCTCTTCGAGCAAAATAAAGCATATTTAGATTGCACAGATAATTTTTATAGTCACTTGGAAATATCCCTCATACATTCCCTATAAGACATTTACAAATCAAAGTTGTTCAAACTAAAAATATTGCAATACTGTAGAACGAAAAAAAAAGTTTTTATCTTAATTTTGGTATATCTTACTTCGTGTTATCTTACATCATAAACGTTGATGTCGCGATTGAACTTACATAATTATTAAGAACTAAAATTGTTTTGCATTTGATGTCTAGGAACTGTAAGGTTAATAAAGAAAAATGTTTAGGGGCTTAAAGTTTATAATACAATTTAAAAAAAATTCATTTACAACAAGTTTGTTTTTATAATTAGCAAACATTCTATAAAACCACATAAGTACCTCAATTCAGCTTCAAGAATTAATCTTCAATAAATTCGATCGCTGATCAATATTTATCTCATTTACCCTTGTATAAAGAAGCTTTAAATCTGAAACCATCAAATATAAAAGAAGTGAATGGCAACGCGAGATGCTGCAAGCCTTACCCGACCCCGCACATGGAAACAAAGCACCTGTACATTGTTATGTCACAACTCTACGTCATCAAACGCAAATATTTGATATCCTAAGGGAGTAAAATATAATTCCTCAACATTGTTTTTGCAATCATGTTTTGTTGTTGAGGCAAATGGGATATTTTATGATAAATGCAGGTGGTTGGGTTACAAGATGCAAACTCTGTCCTTTATAAATGGACACTTTATAGAAAGGGAAACATTTTTATTGCTATTTCTTTTCTTTTCTGCGCCAATACGCCATTGAGATTACATTCAAACGATTGTCTTGAAAATGTTTATATATGTACACCCTTATTCCACCTCGATTGAGATTTCAAAGATATATTTATATAAGCACAATTAATAAATTTATAGATTCATAACTTGTTGCACACAGTGAAGTTTTTCCTCTTTTTTCAGGTTCTGCTATCGTTTCTGCCCAGTATTATTCACAAACATACTTTTCGTGGAAGCATTATGTAAAAGCTTGTTTCGAAATAAACTTGTCTCCAATCAGCTATAATGACACTTTGAATTCAACAAGTATAAGCCAGGCTAATGGTCCAACATCGACAAATGTTATTCGCAGTGATGCAATATATAGATTTAATGGTAAGTTGAAAATTATTTCTCACAGTGAGCTTTAATTGTCTTCCAAAAATTGTTCAAATGATCTTGGTTCTTTGCCATCTGGGTTGAAAGAGCTAAAATATAAAAAAGGGGAAAAGATCAATAAGGAAGGGTAGCATAGATTACTAATTAAACGGTAAGCATCTTCTAAAGAAAATCTGTCAAGTTCGGTAAAAAGTATCTTTTGTCGAAATTGGTTTCTTTCAGCGGGCAACTGGTTTGTATAGAGTCATAATTAAAAATCTTTTAAAAGTCTTCTTTAGGATCGATCACAAAACCCTTATGTAATTACACTTTGTGTCCCATAAGTGTTATGTACAGTTTAGTAAAAGAAAGCATCGTTGCTCGGAACAATTTGACCAAGTTTAGAAGATTCCCCTAAATAGAGTATATACATTGTATCTTCCCTTTGTGTCTTTCGTAGTACATAGAGTTAAAAGAAGACAGAAAGAACCACATGAATTTGCTTTTAAAATTGCCAAGAAGTTAAAGATAAGTAGCAATGTTTAATGGACCATGATTACAGATAAAATAAATAAGTGCCCTTTCAATAAATATTCCTCCACGGGTTAGAATTAAAGCTGCACGCCTCCAGATGAGCATAAATATTTCAAGAAAATGAAAATTGAGAATAATGTACTAATATTTTAAGAAAGGTAAAAACATTCAAGATTCATGTTTTAGTTTACATGTTATTTCGATTTAAGACCGATTTTTCAGTATTTTATCACCATATTTCTACTGCGTTACTAACGCAGTAAGGGCTGTTTTTGCATATTTTGACCTCTTTTTGGTTATTTGCATGGATTGTAAGTGCCGAGTGAATAATGTGAATAACTTTATTTGTTCACCTCACAATATTTTACTTTCAAATACATTTTCAAAATTTTCGTAAAAATTAATACACGTATGATGCTGGAGGCGTGCTGCTTTAATTACATCATCTTAATGTAGAAATTAACTTTGGCATATTTTCAGAAGCTATAAAACCATGAAAGTATATACTTGTCATCATGTAGAATTACCATGCGGTCCCGATTGGCCAAAATACCTTGCTCTTTGGACACCTCAGTATCATAGATTTGTACAGGCAGGATACATGAGCTTTAAAATATTTCCCATGCTCATTTACCTTTGGTAAGAAAGGCTTGTTGTGTATACATAGATTTAAATGGGAAATTACATTGTCCGAAACCACAAGCCTAAAATTCTATGAACTATTTCCCTGTTAACATATATATGTAGATATATATATGTAAAATAAAGTTTCTATATCATTAACTGTTCCAACCTACACAGTGTTAAAATCAATTTCACTGGCTTTTTATTTAGACCAAAGACAAAAAATGAAAGATAATTTTAATTAGATTTTTGAATTAACAAAACCAAACGTTTGAAGACAATGTTTTCTTTCACCCAACAAGCATTTTCCTGAATATTTGTCATATTTGTATTTTTTCTTCTTTTCTTCTTTTTATTGTTTTAAACATAAAAGTAAGTCTGGTGTCAAATATTGCAGTTTATGAAACAAGTAATTATTCAATTAAATAGGATTGATCACGACAAAGACATTCCATTCATTTTCATTACCATAGAAATCTTTCACATCTAGACGTTTAAGAGATTGATTTTAAATATAAAAATTCTAATTTTAATAAAAAATAATTTGTTTCAACTGAAATCAGCATATGGGTGTTGTTTTTGCAATTCTAAAAGTAGAGGAGCAATATCACAGTTTAGTTTGACCAGAGCTCTTACAAAGATAATGCGGTACCTTATCCATTCAGTATTCATAAAACTTAAGGGTATTGTCCTAACAGTGTAGAATTCAGAACGATTAGTAGTATACATCTTCTACAAGGAAAATAAACAATGCACTCGACATTAAAGTTTAACTAAAACCTCAGATTGAAATTCGCTAACAAACGTTCGATCATCTTATTGATACTATTCATAATTGTAAATCAAAGTTATGACAATAAGTGACAAGTAAAGGTGGTTGCACTACTTATACTATACATTTACATACTAGACATTTAATATGGAATTGCTATCATATTCCCATTGAATTACATAAGGAGAATAATAAACTTAAATTGATAGATAATAACCGACATGATTATTTTCCAAATCTTTTCGTTTAATTTCAGAGAAACCAAATGCAATTAGTACAGATGACAGTGTGAAGTATGGATATATTACTAAACGTGGGAACATTACATTTTTACTTTTCACTGAAACTAGTTCAAACAAGCGCTATCTGCTTCAAATAGGTAGGTTTAAGCTTACTTGTACACAACAATACTTTCAACTATACATTTGAGTTTTGTGTAATATACATAATGGTGATTGTATCATTTAGTATAAATATAGACATGCATGAGAAATTGATAACGCTTTTTTATTGGTTGTAAATTTCTCTTGTACATTGGATTGACATTACTCTCTGAACCATAAAATGCAAATTGTCGATTGCTTTATCGGTAGAATGTATGGTTGGCACAAATGTTCGCTAATTTTAGTTAGCTACAATGTACAGGGGTTCGATAGACAAAACATTTACAAGACTGTACATTCCCTCCTTTTGACAATTATTTATCGAATTCATAGGGGATATTTGTTTGTTGTGAGTTAAAAATGTTAAATATCACACCGATTAGAGAGAAAAATGCAGTATTTTTGATGCAGTATTTTTACGAATGCGTAGCGCGAGTAAAAATATGGATATTCTTTTCACATCGATGTGTGATACATTGGTCTTTTTGTGGAATGTGTCGATTTGGTTTTTTTCACTGTTTTATAAATTCAAACCTCTGTCACCTAACTCATTAATTAAGTGTTTTAACTGATGTAAATTGTATTATAATATTTACGGACAAAAGACGTCAATAATTGTTAACACAATAAGATGGAATAATAACAATGCTGCAAAATTACAATTGAGTAATACCGTACAAATAATTTATGACTAACAATCAAATCAATGGTATTATAGACAAGACACTATATCACATTAGTTTACATTAGCCTTTATCTTTAACATTTTTAATCATACCTGCATGTTTACTTAATAATTGTTCATCTGTATTATAAATACGTCACGATTAATTGGTGATGGACATTTATGTCTTTGCCAGAAAAACTAAGCTTGATTTTCAGTTTCGCAACCACATCAACAACACGACAACAAACCAGATATCCTTCTTAAACTTTTTAAATATTTTGATAAATAAATAATAAAAAAAAACAGCAGCAAAAAAACTGTCATTATAATTATCATAAAATCTGTCATAACCTGGCCATTATGAGTCATTTGGGAAATGTTTTGGTGACACAATTTCTGAAGTAAGTATACATTTAAAGATGTATAAGCTATTATCTATACATTACCATATAGGTGATTCACCTAATATAATGACTAACCAGTTTTCGTTCTCATTGTTTTGTCAAATAATTTCAGATTCAGAGACAGGATTAAATCTCACCAGTGAACAAATACGGACAACAACCACACCGACATCAACGACCAAAACAACACGAAAACCACTAGGTAATATTCACAAAATATGTAACTATCATTTAACGTGAATAATTGGAAATATAGCCTGAAAATGAACTCTTAAATTCTGCATAAAAATTATATTGAAATATTTATTTATCAATCGACTTGTCTCCTTCTGCTCCTTAGCATTTGACTTTTTCTTTTAAAGGAGTCATGAACATTAGGAATACGTTTCTTCATGTCAATTTAAATCCTTATTTTTGTCAATAATGGTAGATTACGTAAACATAATGTGTTTTGTAATATATTGTGAACGATAGTTCCGAAATTTTCAGTATTATACTAATGAATTTACCGTTAAAAGTCATATATAATTTGAACGATGAAAATGACTACAGTGATTATTCGTTTCTACTATCAAACGCAGATAATGGCACCACACCAAGACATACTTCATCATTACCAATAAAATCTTCATCTATTACCACATCCTCCATACCTTCAGTGAACGATGGTATCACGAATAGTTCAGAACCCATGCAGTCAATATCTGTGACAAGTATATCAGAAAGTAAGTGAACTTTGATAAAATATGTACAGTGCTATCGAATACCTTTGTTGTTTAACGGTACATATAATAGAAAAAGAAGCGAAACACGAGGTTATCTAATTTGTAAGAGGGGACATAGCCCCAGAGTATAAATCAGATTGCCGAGTGTAAGTGTAAGAAACTGTAAACTAAACATAGGATAATTATATTCATTATATAAACAGCTTATATTGATAGCATACAGCTCTATCTTTTTTAACTTTACATAGCTATAGGAACGAATAGATAATAAGTTTTTTTAGAAAGGGCAAACATTAATTTTATAACCTTTAAATAAAAGTTTATGAGCATGTTACTTTTTTATTATCTGAAGAAAAAAAGCGCTGAATGTAAAAGAAAAAGAAAAACAGCTTTTGAAATAAAAAAAAGCATTTCTGGTGCATTATGGGCTTTTACATAATGTACACGAATCAATATATACAAGAATTTGTCAAGAGATATCAACGTCTCCCGCCTCAGGGAAGTTTTATATGAAGCATAAAATTGTGCTATTTCAAAAGATTTTGGTATGGATCTCAAGACTTTCAGTCAAAATTTAAAATCAAGGCTAGATCTGCAAATGCAACAATTAATTTATTAAAGAAATGAAAAGAAACACGGAATTCAAAAATCTATAATGTTAAGCTTTGACCTTGACCTTCGAGGTAGAGATGCAGGTGTTAAACATGACATATCGTCTTATCATTGAAACTATTTGTGCCAAGTATTTTCAAAATCCTTTGAACTACGAAGAAGTTATAGACCGGACACAAAATATACTCTATAACAGACTATGTTAATCTTTGACCTTTAAGTGTGACTTTTGACGTAGGAACCCATGTTTTGCGCCTGACATATCGTCTTATTATTGTGATTATTTGTGGAGTATTTTTTATATCCCTTGATATAAGAAAAAGTTATGGGCTGGACACAAAATAAACCCTATTACAGACCATGTAAATATTTGACCTCTAAGTGTTACCTTGACCTTGGAGGTAGGGACACGGGTGTTACGCATGACATATCATCTTACCATTGTTACTATTTGTGCCAAGTATTTTCAAAGTCCCTTGATCTATGAAGGAGTTATGGGCGGGACACAAAATATATCATATAACAGACTCTGTTAACATTTGAGCTCTAAGTGCGACCTTGACCTTGAAGGTAGGGATGCAGGTGTTGTACTTGACATATCATCTTATTATTGTGACTTGCCAAGTTATTTTAAAATCCTTCGAACTATGAAGAAGTTCTAGATCGAACACAAAATATATCCTATAACAGACTATGTTAATCTTTGACCTTTAAGTGTGACCTTGACCTTTGAGGTAGGTGACTAGTTTTTGCGCATGACACATTGTCTCATTATTGTGAACAATTGTGTAAAAGTATTTACAAAATCCCTTCAAAGATAAGAAAGTTATGGACCGGACACGACATATACTCTCAAAGAGACAATGTTGACCTTGATTGAGCAAGTGCGACATTGACCCTGAAGGTAGGGGTCTGGTTGTTATACATGACACATCGTCTTATTATAACAAACATTTGTGCCAAGTTATTTCAAATTCCTTTGTATGGACCGGACACGAAAGTGTGACGGACGGACAGACGGATGGAGCCTATTTCTTTCTATTATCCCCTTTTTTGTTTGAAAAGGCGGAGGACAAAATTATATATGATATATGTATCTGAATTAAATGACATGTTTGCCTAATGAGAACTATGAGTACGTACAATGTTTATATTTGCCTTCGTCATGAGGTGTACATAGTTATTTCATATATATTTGTTTACAGGTTCTGACGTTAGTGTCTCTGTCAGCATTTCAGTTGTTGCTGTAATCATTGTGGTAGTTATTGTTACAATAATAACTTTAAAAAAACGGTAAAATCAACATTTATAATTACTCAAATTTTGAATGATGTAAATTGAATTTGGCAACAACAAAATATCCCCCTTCTTTTTATAGAGAACTTCTTTCGTAACAATATTACAGATTCTTACACAATGCATTTTCCCGCTATCAAACAGACATGGTGCATACCATACGAGGATGTGTCAATATGTTATGCAATACAAACTCTATTTTCTAATTAGCTCGTGATTCTTGTTTTTGTGTAAACTATGAACTTTAAACCAGCTGCTTTCAAAATGTGTGACACGTATATCACGTATCTAGTCAACCGATTAAGAGTTTTATTCACAATAAAAATACCTTACACAAGTAACTTCAAATAAAACGGCTGGTAAACGCTCAGTTAAAAGTCCTGAAAAACGGGCTTACATAAAAGGTCAAACAAATCTACGAAAATATGCTGAACACGTTTATATTGATATTTGTAAGATAAATGGCAACAATGAAATATCTTATGCAGATGTTTCGAGGTAGATACACATATTAAAATTAGTACGAGTCAGTTAAAGTACTTGAGTGTAAGTCTTGTAGAAAAAAATCCGTTGTTACTCTCATTAACATTCATAAAGTCAAGCTTTTTATTGACAAAGATGCCGCACTTTCACTTACCCAAGTAGCTCATATAACATGCATATCAAAACGGTCAACTCATACGATTGCATAGAATCACTTGTAAGGTAGGCGAATAATTTCCAGATTGATAACCTATTTGCTAACATCTGGCTAGACGAAGGAGCGAGTTTAATGTGCTCTTAAGTTTTTTCCTAAATATGATAGTCGCCTTTTTATTTAACATTGTGACTGGCGATGAAGGCTGATGTCACTGACTTACGCCAGTTCACAAGCGTAACAATAAGATCTAAGCAAGCGATTGAAAAAGGGCAAGAAAATTACGTTATTTGATTTCATACCCATGAACTATAATTGTCCAAAATTCCAGTTTCTAGAGGCCTTTATGTGACCTCTAAATATTAGTGAGAGGCCTATCTTTTCTGCATGACAAATGTCCTACACACAAAGGTGCTACTGTAATAGATATTTTTCCGAGAAAAACAGGTGACTGTCCTCAAACATCCACCGTATTCTCCAGACTTAGCACACTGTGACTTCTTCCCCTATCCTTGTTTGAGCAAACATTTTACAAGTCATCACTAAAATAGTGGTAATACAGTTGGTTCGGCCATTTTGTCAGTTATTTAAAGGTGCGGAGGACTATGTTGAAGCATTTAAAGATTGGATAAAATGTCTTAAACATATTTTGTAATTCTGTAGGAAAGATCATTTCTAAAGGTTGAAATAAAAAAAACCATATATTTGCTTTTTGGCCAATTAATTGACCATATTGCATTATATATTGACTCTCTCTCGTATATTACACGCTTGAAAGGAATATGTACACGTCATATGTCGTTAGATATGACGTCAATAAACTAAACGTCGCCTAGATAATTACTTAGGCCTTCAATTCTCTAAAGCTTACATTTATCTGTTCTTTTTTTTATTACTAGCATGTAAGAATGGAAATATAGGTTTCTTGAATTTTTGATTTATATTGCATGGTCTTACGTTTAAATATTTGCATTAAGCACTCAGGCCTACCGGTATTCGTGAAATGTTCAAGCACATTTGAACTCAAACATTGCATTATTCTACAAGTAGTTACCCAAATATATGAAACAAACTATGATATTCTTTTTTATGTAAGTTCACCATATTATGACTACATTATCTAAATTTTAACCAATATATATAACAGAGAAGACAATTCTTTAACATACTGAAATAAAATAAAATATTTTTTCAATATATTTATTACCTCCCTTTATGTTTATAACATAAATACTCACACAAACATCTATCTTATCATCATTATTTGAACAAACTGATAATTCTACTTTTACAAAGTGATGATGCAGTCTTAAAATCTATGTTCTGCACGTTGTAGGTTGGAAGAAAAGTATTTTAAGACATGTATATTATTAATTTTAAATCTGCGTACATGTAAATTATACAAGACCTACAACCCCCTGGGCAAAGGAAACTTTTAAATGATTTTTGAAACAATTGGAGGGTTCTTCCATGTAATGACACATTCCAAAAAATTGAGATCTGGGCATTGTCAGTTTAAATAAGAATACATACTTGTAAAATAGTTTTTCTATCTAAATGAATCCTGGTACAGGACCAATATAATCACAGGATTTATATAAATTTTGTAGATGTCAACAAGGCATGTTTTACGCAAAACAGGTAAACGTTAACATAAATATAATTGGAATATGAAAATGTGTACTTATTACATTTATTTATTTAAAGCTTTTAGAATTCAGCCACTCAAGAATGCAGGGGTAGTAATGGCCTAAGCTTTTTCGCAACTTTTTATTTTGGTATTTCTTCCTTTGAATATATATTTTGTTTTAATGTATAAAAATCAGGTACAGGAACTTTATATCAGCCCTTTAACCCATAAATTAAGTCTTACCATAAGAGAAAGACATTCCACAATATGGCAAAACAGAGGTAGCATTTTAACCTAACAGCTGCTAGTACTCCAGACATGTTCATGTCCAAATTTTAGATAGCTTGAGCTTTAAAAAAGGATATTTCATATGCATCATTTACAACTCGTTGTTAATTAGTTAATTTACATATTTCAAGTAACATCAGTTTCAATCACTTATTTCAAAATAATTAAATCATATAGACCTGCACCTCCTGAATTATTATAATCTATAAAAAATCTAAAAATATTTAGTTTGATAAAAGAAAAACATTAAGAATTAATAGATTTTGAAAAATAAGTGGAGGTAGCATACAAATTTATATATATATTGAGAGGAAACATATTAATAAATTCATACATTGTAATTGTACATTTGCTAAACGAGGGGTGTTCGGGAAGTTTAAGGACTTTTGCTGTATCTTTTCCTTAATGGTACGTTTTTATCAATATTTCACAAAATGTAATTTAAATATGTGCTCAATATGTAGTATAACACTCACTAACAAGTGTAGACAAATACCTCTCGAATTGTTTTTATATGAACCGCATAAAGCATACCCGGAGCACTCCGATTTTATCGTATTTAAGTAAATGGTACCGATATATTCAATTGATAATAATTTTCATAAATTACAATGGATAACGTCACGAAAAAACACGAGCGTTGAATACAACGTAAACGTCATTTCCTGAAAATTCTACTCGTAAATCGTTACAATTGTTTGAAAAACAACGGTTTTAACATCACTGGTGCTTACACAAATCAAACGAAAAATGACGTCAATAGGCGACGTTGAAGTCAGGGCAATCATCAAGTTTTGTGTAGGAATAGAAAAGACACCAATGGAGACGTATGAAGTGATTCAAGCATCTAGTACAACAAAGAAATGATGTAGATCGCTAGTATTTAGATGGCACGGCATGTTCCGAAACGGAAGAGTCAATAGAGGATGACAAGCGATGCGGTCGACCATCGGTGGCGAAAACTGGAGTAAAAGACAAGGTTCAGCAACTGATAAAGGAAGATCGACGACGCACTGTGCTTGTGCGAGAAATGTCAAGTTAACTTGGTGTATCTTTGTCAAACGTCCACGATTGCCTAAAAGAAGACAATATGTCGAGTGGGAGCGCAGATTACACTGTTCCCGAGAATTCGTGCGACGCGTCGAAAGAGAGGGTTTGTCATTTTTAGATCGCATCATCACTACGGACGAAACTTCGTTGTCGACTATGATCCCGAGTCGAAACAGGAATCATCTGTCTGGAACACTCCGGGAAGTCCTCCTCCAAAGAAAGCGTGGGTTCAGAAAAGCGGCGGAAAACACATGTTCGTGTTTTTCATGGACAGGCGGGGAATGCTATTACAGCACCGTATCCCGTAAGGACAGACTGAGACCGCCAACTATTACTCAAAGGTTATTATAGACACTCATAAATGATAATTTATTATGCCCCCACTTCGAAAAAGAGGGGGTATATTGCATTGCACTTGTCGGTCCGTCGGTCCGTAGACCAAATGGTTTCCGAGTGATAACTAAAGAACCCTTAGGCCTAGGAACTTCAAACTTGGTATGGTCATTGGTCATGATCAGTAGATGACCCCTATTGATTTTGGGGTCAAGGGGTCTAAGGTCAAGGTCACATTGACCTTGTAGGTAAAAACGGTTTCCGATCAATAACTTAAGCATCCTTAAGTCTAGAAACTTCAAACTTGGTATGGTGATTGGTCATGACCAGCACATGACCCCTATTGATTTTGGGGTCAAGGAGTCAAAGGTCAAGGTCACATTGATCTTGTAGGTAAAAACGGTTTCCGATCAATTAACTAAAGAACGCTTAGGCGTAGGAACTTCAAACTTTGTATGATGATTGGTCGTGACCAGCAGATGACCCCTATTGAGTTTTGGGTCAAGGGGTCAAAGGTCAAGGTCACATTGACCTTGTGAGTAAAAACGGTTTCTGATCAATAACTAAAGAACGCTTCGGCCTAGGAACTTCAAACTTGGCATGTTGATTGGTCATGGCCAGCAGATGACTCCTATTGATTTTGTGTCCAGGGGTCAAAGGTCAAGGTCACATTGACCTTGTAGGAAAAAACGGTTTCCGATCAATAACTTAAGAATCCTTAGGCCTAGGAACTTCAAACTTGGTATGGTGATTGGTCATGACCAGCAGATGACCCCTATTGATTTTGGGGTCAAGGGGTCAAAGGTCAAGGTCACATTGATCTTGTAGTTAAAAACGGTTTCCGATCAATTGACTAAAAACGCTTAGGCCTAAGAACTTCAAACTTTGTATGATGATTGGTCGTGACCAGCAGATGACCCCTATTGAGTTTTGGGTCAAGGGGTCAAAGGTCAAGGTCACATTGACCTTGTAAGTAAAATCGGTTTCTGATCAATAACTAAAGAACGCTTCGGCCTAGGAACTTCAAACTTGGCATGCTGATTGGTCATGACCAGCAGATGACTCCTATTGATTTGGGATCAAGGGGTCAAAATTCAAGGTCACATTGACCTTGTAGGTCCGATCAATAACTAGAAAACGCTTAGGCCTAGAAACTTCAAACTTGGTATGATAAGGGGTCAAAGGTCAACGTCACATTGACCTTGTAGGTAAAAACGGTTTCCAATCAATAACTAAAGAACCCTTAGGCCTAGAAACTTCATACTTGGTATGATGAGTGGTCATTGCGAGCAGATGACCCCTATTGATTTTGGGGTCAAGGGGTCCAAAGGTCAAGGTCACATTGACCTTGTAGGTAAAAACAGTTTCCGATCAATAACTAAAGAACGCTTAGGCGTAGGAACTTCAATCTTTGTATGATGATTGGTCATGACCAGTAGATGACCCCTATTGATTTTGGGGTCAAGGGGTCAATGTCATATTAAACTTGTACTTAATGACGGTTTCTGACCAATAACTCAACAACTCAAGTTGCCTTGGTTGATATTTTTATGTTAAACTAAGAATGCTTTTGGTATACACATTTGAAGGTCTTATGTAAAATAACAACTTGGCTGTCATTAATGAGGCCTACATGATTCATAAAATTCATGCATATATTATTTGGTAAGATTTGTAATAACTTAAATTGCTGCACACAACCTATAGGGTCACAATAATTATTACCTTGTGACGAGTCATGACCAGTAGATACTAGATAACCCTTATTAATTGTTTGTTCACTGGATCAGAAGTCATGCATAATAACCTGATCACATGACTAATTGGCTGCCGACAGGGGGCATACATGTTTTACAAACATATCTTGTTTTAGTTTATATATAAGATAAAACTTATCAAATAAATGAGAAAAAATATATTGAATTATTTTTTGATACGCTATTCATAGAAAACTTAATCATTTTATGATTTCAGGTTCTAAGGCAGGATCTCGTCCAGGCTATACGGAAGAAGCGCCCCGGGATCGACCTCGACCAGATCTTTCTTCTCCAGGACAACGCCCCCGGCCACGTTCACAGTCAACGCAGTTGCAAATCAGCCTCCTTGGATTCGAGACTCTCGAGCATCCTCCCTATTGCCCGGACCTCGCGCCGATAGATTTCCGAGTTTTTCCGGAAATCAAAGCACAACTGCGTGGTCGACGCTTTGTTTCTGGGTTGGAATTACAAATTGAAACCCAGAGAATAGTTTCGTCATTCGACAACATTTGGTACGAGGACACGTACGACAAATGGGTCAAGAGGCATAGATAATGTATCGCTTTAGATTGAGATTACGTCAAAAAGTGAGTCGATATGACGATCGGGGAAATTTGACGTTAACATATTTAGCACTGACGTGACGTTAGGGCGCTCCGGGTATGCTTCGGTGTATGTTTTGTTTTATCTGTAATTAACTTATTGTTTAATGTATTTCATTGTAATCTTTACAGCTTGCTGTAATAGAATTAAATATTTTATGGTGTTTTTCTTGTTTTTCAATTCCTTTTATTTATCAAACTACAGCAAAAGTCCTTTAACTTGCAAAACACCCCTCGTATAAACACTTATATAAGGATTTTGAATTAGTCAGTGTGACCTTGACCAAAATAAATCTAAAACTGCGCTCTGAACATTATTTAAGTACTATAAATATTTCTAACAAAAAAGATTTGATTTCCTACTATCGGTTTAAAAGAAACAGATCGTACAGAAAATTTTGAAAATGATACAAAATGACTAAGTGTGACCTTGACCTGCGCTCTATACATTGTCTCATTATGGTTAGCATTTCTGCCAATTAATTCCAATGTCCTTCCACCGGTTCAAACGATACAGACACGAAAACTCCTATATAAGTATTTATTAATCAATAATAATTATCCTATTTTAAATGAATTTAAATGCTATTTTGTTCTGACGTGCTGTTGTGCAGTTCACTTCTTTTATTTATAGACGATGTGTTTCATGAAATATCTATATCTGTATGTAAAAGGTTCATGAAATGTTTAAAGCGTATATACTTTTGTTTATAGAAAGAAACTCTTTATTCGATGCTGCAAGACAACAGACCAAACGCAGAGTCGTACCATCCATCAGGGGATTAATGAACTTGTTCAAATAGGAAGGAACAATTCAAAAGAGATCGCTTTGCCTTGCCAAATAAGTGGTTCTTTATACCAAAATGTCGACGCGCCATCTAGGGAGATCACTGATCCGCATACATATTGTGGCCTTGAAAATATCGAACGGGGAACAAATAATATGGAAAGTGAATACAGTCAACTGTCATTATCTTGATTATAGATAGATTGTCAAAAAGAAGTCATTGTAACAATATGGCGAAATAACCGTTTTTTCAAATCTTTTTGAGGATCTTTTTTGAAATCTGGGAAAAAGGAAGATCCTTCGAAAGCAAATTATTCATGTCAGTAACTAAATGCACGTATTTCTTGTCTTTATGTTGGTCCAAATGGACCTGATTTGTTTAAAATCAATATTTTTGTAAAATTACTTCTTTTTCTAATGATTTCTATTCAAATTTTGTCTGAAGTTACAGACTTTTTAATAAATATTTGCTCCAGCTCATCGCCGATAACCTTCAGCTACAAAGTCTTTAGTTTTATGGAAACTCCTGTAAGTATTTGGGTATTTAAATATAGATTATTTAAGTTCCTTTCTTCCTAGCATTCAACATCTCGTTTTAATAATTAATCATAGAATGTCAGAAAACGTCCTATCCCGGTAGAAAGTTCCTTTATTTACAGTTTTATGACAGCTTTTGTATATTTATACATAATTACCTGCAATCTTGCTCATAATTAATTGGTTAAGACCTACGTCAAATGGAACAATTAATCCCGAAGAAATGTCCCCTGTCACTTCATGTCAAGAAAACTAATAAATAGATGTGGAGTCCCTTTACTAGTGTCATGGTAAGTTCAAGTTTGTCTGTATTTAATTATTAAATCATAATGATTTGAATTCTGTTAATGACAGTTAGGCCGTCGGGTATTATCAAATATAGTCGGATAGAAGTTTAAAATTCAAATTTGGACTATTAAGCTGGTAAATTTGATGTAATATGTACTGAAAATTTAATATTGACCGAGGCGATAGCCGATAGCTAAAACGTACATATCTTACACCGTATTACCGGAGCCAGTGATGACAGATCACTGCAGTGATAGCAGATAGCTGAAATTTACCGCTCGGTACAGGTAGGTTATAAATTTGGTTGGTGTTATTATATTACACAAATACGGCCCATTTCATTGCTATGAAACTATTGTCCATTGACTTGAGATACTATTAGGTAATTTTGGACTCGTTTTTCCTGTTTAAGACTTTTTTGAGCAGGTTAAAAGTGACCGCTTAAAAAAAAACTTTTTTTTTTGTTCAAAATATCTCAAGTTTTAACTAAATGACAGGATTTCGTGTTATTAATATAGACGTTTATGCATTGGGGTCACGCAAGCCAAACATCTACCCCGTGAGCCTTTTCTTGAAAGTTTTACAGACGTTCAATCTGGTCCGGTCGAAGAAAAAAATGCTGCCGTTATAGGCAGATACTTATTTTAAATGCTGCCGTCGATGGCAGAAATACCATGAAAGTGGCTAACATTATGACAGAAAATCAAGGTTAATCTTTTATCAATTCCTCTATTCTGTGTGTCATTTTAGTCGGAATTGAGACGTTAAACTATCATTTCTAATATTTTCTCAAGATAGAAAAATTATTAATGCGGTATGTGCATCGAAAAAGCTTTTTAGCAACACGCAGTTACAATACAAAATGCAATGATTCAGTACGACCAAATTGCACTATAAATAGAGCAATTAACATGAAGAAATTCATTTTTCTATATTCATGCATGTGTGCTTGATCTGTTGTGTCTGTCAGTTACATGAATACAATACCATATGTATCTTAAGTTTAGCAGCGCATAATTCACTCCCTTTTCAAGACATAACGCCATATGCATATTACAGCTGTAACTTCAGTTAGTGGATAATCATTTGCTAGCATCGAGATAATAATGTTCATCCCTTTATGACATATAAAGGCTGAAATTTACTTAGTCGGCGCTAATGCTGCAGATTATGAGTTACTAAAATTCACGACCATTCATGAAGTTGCCGTATTTGGGCCATTACCTGCTAAAATCTGAATATACAGAGTATTAACACGCACGTATAGTAGGAGATTGTTTTTAAATACAAATTAATTCACTTACATAAAAATGTCTATAAAACAACAACACTTTGTGTAAACTTTGTAATCAACTCAGAGCAAATTTTACAGCGTAAATATTATGTCACGTTAGACTTAGACTTTAACGTTTTGAACATCATACAAGGTTCATGTGAACTAAAAAGGCTATAAAATATTACTTATATATCACCTTTATCGATTTTCTTCCAAGACTTTTACTAGATATTCTACATACTGTGAAGACAACTTTGCGAAACGTGAGTAGCAATTACTACATATTTATTAAATTAAATTTCAAAATACCGGAATGAGGATAATATACATTGAATCAATTGAAATGCTTTACATTGAATACATTCTATGTTTTGTAAAATTGATATGAATTATTGCAGTGTAGTATAATTTTATTCAAACAATTTTTATAGGTTAATATCTTATTTTTATTTGTTTAAAATTCTGGAAACAAAGTGATCCCTCGGAAGCATTAATCACAACAAAATTACAAGAGAACTGCAGACTCGGTTTGCTTGAGCCTGTACATGAGTGATAATGAATAAGTGCACCGTTTTGAGCGGTACTCAATTCGTGCTGGCATCAATGATCCCGAAGGATTAAGTCACACTGACACGTGTACATTAAAGATTTAGTTTTCCTAGTGGAGGAGGATCTCAGTTGTGTCCCTGCATGCAATTTTATTTTTAAAAAAGCAGAAAAATTCTCAAAATCGTTCAATAATCAATTTCACTAATCAATTGAAGTCATTTAATTTCATGAAATAAATATTACTAATTTTGAAAAGGATTTGTTTTGTTAACCTGAGCTTGAAACAGGTAACTGATTTAGTTGATAATTACTAACGGAAACAGTTTTATGAGTTTCAAAACAACGCCTTTCTGCCTTTCTCTCAGGTACCGTTCAAATGATTGTATGTGTCAACCTCAACACGCAGATTATTTTTATAATCCCTTCTAACATCATCGTAATCGTTTTCTTGCTTGTCAGGTACACCATAGATATTGTCTGTTTTATCATTGTTCATAAGGTTTCTGGTTATGTGATTATAGTTGTCAGTTCCGCTTAATGTTTCAGATAATTCTTTTACACATTCAGTATTCAGTAATGCTTTTATTTTTATAGCTGCATTCTCGGTGGTGTCATAAACGTTATCAAATTGGGTACCAAACTTTTTATTGAATTGTATCATATTATAATCGTCGTTAATACCTCTTCCATCTCTCCTGGAATTTGAAATATCACCATCGGCATGAGATTCTCTGGAGCCGGGTTCAAGAATGAAGTAATTATTTGCATAATTACTATTGTCTACGTCAATATCTTGATGAAGGATTACGTTATTGTTTCCTTTAAAATCGTTTATCTGTTCATTTTCAGCTCCTAGAGATTGATTATACAGATTGTTTTCAGCTTGATTCTTACCGGAAGTTTCTTTTAATGAATCATTCTGAGAAGAACTTTTAAAACACGTGTTTGGAATTTTGCCTCTGAAAAATAGAATCGAAATAACATTTATGTTCTTATGACAATCCGTATTTTCAACCGAAAAAAATATGTTGATGATTATAAACAAACAAAAGCAATCTTTACTAAGCGTCACATTAATAAAACTTATTTATACATCTTAACCTGTAAAAGTATTCTTAAAACAAATTATCACAAATAATCTGACATATTATATGTGATCAAAAGCAAAGGTAAACTAGCAACAGAAAAAAACAGAGTTATTTACCGTCGTTTCAACATTATTATGACAATAACAATGGCTGCCACTAAGAGAAAAATCACAACTGAAACACTGACAAAGATACTGACATTGGAACCTGCAAGATAACAAATGGTAAAACTTGAATGATCACATGGCACAAGCCATGTCAAAATGTATTATGATTTAATGTCAAAACTGTTCAAAAAAGCGCATATCTGATTGGTTTATTACCGTTGACGTCACGATTCCGTCAAAAAGACATGTAGTCAGCCAAAAGACATATAGGTCTAATGGTTTTATCAAAGCCTGCTATTCCTTTTTTGAACCATGTTTAGGGGCCGTTTATTTCAAGTTAAGGTTACAGACATGATAACAATAGCATTGATACGTAGATAATTAAAAGTAAATGTTTTTATGATGTTAAAGCCAGGTATTTTAGAAGATATAAGACTTTTTATAAAGTTTAGAGGCTCATTCATTTATATAATTACACAATAAAAAGGGCAAAGAGGGTGATCAATTTAAACTGCTTTGTTAGCATTTTGTTTCTGCATGTTTTGTGTTTATATATCAAACAATTCGATTAGATTTATTCAGAAATTTTCAAAGTCTTTTAATGTATCGTAATTCTGTAATGCAACTCAGCTTTAAAGTTTTAATATGTTTCCTTCTAGAGAAAAGAGCACTAATTCTGGAGTTGGTTTATTTAATCTATTAACAAAATGTAACATTTAAAGAAGAGGAACATATATGTTTTCTTATCTTAAGCATGAAAGAAAGATGTAAACTTGTCATACGTTACATGTATTGCTTTTTCAACAAGCCATATGAATAGATTATTCCAAAATATTTGTACCATTTGGCAGTCCATAAACAGATACTTTATACTGTAAATATCGATACAGCAAACATCACAGACACTAAATTCAGTTGATTTACATGGAAGGAGGAACTTGTTTGAGGCAGTGTTCCTTTGTTAAAATTATACCGAAAGTTTTTAAACTATTATCTTTATAGTATACAAAAAATAATTTTCGTAAATATTTTCCATTGAAATTCTTTTTTTGTAGAAATCGTTCTTCCCATTTTATTTGCTATCTTTTTATTTTACACGGTCTCATTTGCTTTTGAATCTGTTTTAACTTTTTTATGTTTATTGATGTGTTTGTTTTTTCTATGATATCAACAGTGCTTATTTCTGTATGCGTTCAAAGTTTGACTAATTCATTGTAGTTTACGTTTCCATTCTTTGGGTATTAATGAATTTAATTCATAAATTAAAGTTAAATGTTTCTGTTTGAATGATTAAATTAAGTTTCGGCTAATCAAAGGTTTCAAACTGGTTTTTTTCAATGTTAAAAATATCCTTTACTTTATTAATATTTTCCATTTTCATCAATGGAAAAATATTAAGTGCCATTATATTTCTATGTGAATTCTGTCAAATTATTTGGTCTTATAGATTTTGTGGATTTTATTAAAAACTATTTTACTTCATGTTAGAATAGTAGTACATGTATTTATGTTAAGAAAATATTTTCGATTTTAAATTTCTGTTTATCATTTGCTTTATATTACTTTTAAATAAATCGATTCCACTAATTCTTTGAATTTTTTTCCTTTATTATTTCTATCCACAATCCATGGTTATTTTCATCAAATACCTTTTGATCTAGCTTGATTTAATCGAGTAAATGAAAATTGGCAGGTCTATCATATTTAAAACTCTATATTTAAAGAATTGAATAAGTATATCCCTTTTAACTTTGTCTCCTTTTGAGTGCCATGTATTCAAAATAGTTTTTTGTAATTGTTTTCATCATTCTTTCTGGTCGACTCAAAAGTACAGATACTGTGATTGTTAGTTATGGATATATTGACAATTGTTGTAAATACCTTGCTATCCATTTATTTATGTTCTCTTTAATTTGTTAAAATTATTCTCGCAATTTAGATTGGTAATAAAGTCCTGGTATTCTTACTTTATATTGGTAATTAAGTCCTAATATTCATACAGACACGATTGAAATATATTTTATAATAATGTTATTTTCAATAGGTAATAACATGCAATAATATTTCAATTATGATGTTAGTCAAGATCTTTGAAAATAAGTGTACATGTATAAGACACATTTTCTGATAAAGATGATGATATACGATATAACGATTTAAGACTTATGTTTCCGTTTATATATTAACTTTCGGACTTTAAAAAACGTATTAACGACCTCAGAGTTTAAGGTTAAGAAACATGTATCGATCCCAATATAAGTTTCTTATTTTACGTTATTATGATCATATATCCACCATTGAACAATTTTGTATTGGAAATATCTGTTATTAACTATGCATTATTCAGACATTGTAAAACGAGTTGAAAGGTTGAGTTTTACAAGACTAAGGTAGTCGGCTATCTTTTAGTTATTAGAAGGTTTACCTAAGGAGGAGTATGTCAAAGCATTTAAAATGAATTAAACGTCTGTAATGTTTCTTTAGTAAGATGACATCGAAAATGTTTAAAATAGGAAATTGTAAATGCTTGTTCTTTTCTTAAATTTAGTATATATTAATCTACTTTCGTATTCATATAAAATCTTCAATAAAAATGACAATTTTGAATTCTAACAAGCTAATGATTCCTTATAATATTATTACAAAGAAATTTCATTTTTTTTACAAAACAAACCATTGAACAAAATTCGAATTCGGTTATGAATTAAAAATGTCACTTACTTTCAAATGCACTCATTTCGTCATTTGATTGAAAGCCTTTCGTTATATTTATAAATTCATTGTTGATACTAGATGTTAATGTTCTGTCAGCTATTGTTGATGTTAATGGAGAAGTCGTATACGTAGAACTTCCTGTTGTTAAAAATATAATTGTGTTTGGTTTGAAAATCTGCAAAACCTTTTTACAGTTAGTCTCCCCTTTTTTCAGCTCTGACTTTTCATCGCCCCGAATCAGTCTATGTCATATGACGAGTTCATGTGCCCCTCTGTACTTTTTCCATGCACTAACGGGACTCAAGTAATAATATAACTGTCTTAATCACACTGTATTAATGACACATATTGAAAATTTAGAAGGTAGATCTTATGAAACAGAAAAAGAATCATTATTAAAACTGCAAGAAGAATTGACTTCTTTAAGGCAAGAAAAATTGAAAGGCCATTTTGTAAGATCAAGTGCTAAGTGGACTGATTGCAGTAAAATGCCAACCAACTAATTTTGTAATTTAGAAAAATTTCATTATACAAGAAAATTATACAATTTTTTACAGAAAAATTGGAGACCAAAAAAAAAAAAGAGAGAGATATTCTACAGGAGGCAGACTCTTATTACAAACAATTATGTACAAAAGTAAAATGTGAGAGAACTATACAAGACAAATTTTTCTTGAAAATAATACTGATACTCGGAAGTAAAGTACTGAGGTTTCAGATTCTTTTATACTGAAATTAGAGATACCTTAAATAATATAAAAATGACAAAAGTCTTGGATCTGATGTTTTTTTCTTCATTTTTGTTTAAGTATTCTGGAATGGACATTTTATTATTTGATATATAAACTGTGCATTTAATGAAGGTTATCATTCAATAATACAAAAAATGGAATCGTTAATTGCATTCCAAAAGATAAAAAACCTTAACAATTCTTAAACATTGGATACTATTTCTCTCTTAATAGTCAGGTCAATTTGTAACAAAATATGCACAAATACTTCAGAAAATGGGAAAAGCATGAAACTTTGCACAGATGTTTATTAAGACAAAAGAAACATTTTGGGCATGGGACCCATTTGATATATGCCAAGATGGCCGCCATGGCTGCCATTTTCAAAATGGCCGCCATAACAATATGTTTTTACTATAGCCATCCAATACAAGGCTTGTATTATAACAATTACACTAAAAATGCACCAAAATGTTATTAATAATAAAGTGTTTAATCATTAAATAATGTTACCCACTAGTAAACATTGTTTTATAATGTTTTATTGTCTAGTGTTACTATGACAGCGTAAATAAAACAATAAAGTCTCTATATTTAGTTATGCGCTTTATTTTTATGAATCATACTTATTATTTCATCTCATTTTTTTACTATTTTATTTCATTTTATTTGATAAACAGAACAATGAAAACTCATTTGATAAACAGAACAATGAAAACTCATAAATGTATGCTATAAATGAAAATAATTGAAACAATATACTCAAATATAACTAAAGAAATGAAAGTAAGATTATATACTTTAACGTAAAACGTTTCATTATAGTCAGATGCTTTCATTCAATCTGTACCATCTGCATTTTGTTAAATTATTAACATTAGAAATATGTCACAGAATAGCTATTACATGATGCAAGACCTTTTTAGCTTAGTTTAAGAAATCTTAAATCTTAACTGTAGTTAATGACTCCACCAAAAATCAGTTCAAAGATGACGTTGATGGCGTAATCATATTATGTTAAAAATACAAACACCTCACTTTTAATACTAGAATATAATTTTGTGAACATTTAACCTCTGTCACAGTTTCCACCACACTTGCATAAAGCGGTACAAAGCATTTCAGCTTTTTGGCATTTACATCTAGCTCGACAGCCTATAAGAGGATTGCATCCACACTTAAGCAACTCTTGGCATGAAAATGCTGCTTGTGGCAAAGAAGACCACAAGGGCTCCCATTTATTAGAAGCACTTAGAGCCCACCCCCACTCTGCTGGACTTGGAAGTTCTGGAGATTGTAATAATGCTTGCCCCCAAATGTAACCAGCTTGGTAAGCAACCCTTTTAATATGTTGGAGAAGAGCAGCAGAAGAGGGAGGGATAGTCTCAATAGACCTACCCTTTTGTGTGAACAAATGTTTTCGGGCCTCATTCACATTGGTTGCTGGACAAGTTTTGTCGTACAAAAGAACAACAAAACGCTCTATTGTAGGCATCTGATTAACAACTGACTCTAAAGAAGGTGAAGACCCTAGAACTAAGAACGAGGTTGTGATGTCAGTATAATTTTTCCAAGTTTCCCAAGCGGACTTTTTACCGCGCCCACAGAAAGCAGATGTCTGGTCACTTCCAGTAAATGCATGGAAAGCTGGAAGGGCTTTTGACTTTGATTCCCCAAGGCAATTAACTATGTCATGAACTGCTATATATCTTATATTTTTCCCAGCCCCAAATGCTACCCATAGCTCATTTAAGGAAATCTTAGGATAAACTGCAACAGCAAGGACAAGAACGTCTGTATCTACAGTCCTTATCATAACTCTTTTATACCCTTGACCCGACATATCTGCTATATGTAATATTAGTTTCACATCAGCTTCTTCGTGATTACATGGGGAGATTGGGCTTGTATCAAACAACTCGGACGAAGCAATGACCCTACCGCCTTGAGTAGAGACAATAAGTTTCTGTCCTTGTTCTACAGAAATAGCTTGTTCAGCGAGAAAGTGAAACAATTCTGTTTTATTGTCGTCAACCCGCAGAAATGAATCCCAGTTACCAGGGATTTTGGAGTCAGGTAGAACTCTGCGTCGCACGCCATTTCCTCTTTGAGATCTTGTGGCTGCTTTAAGGCTGTTTACATTATACACATCCCATACGACATCAAATAGATAAATACAGAATCCCTAAAGAAAGCCCAACACGGCAAAATTGAAAATGTTGCAGGCTCGGTTTGATTGAGCCTGTTCATGGACGATATTGGAAAGTGCAAGTTACCGTCCACGCCCCCTAGCACCGGCTTAAGCAGAATTCAACATTTAAACGTGAAATAGTAAAATTTTGAATTTAAAAACATGCGCAGATGTGTTCATACGGCGGTTATCATGGAACCTTCAATGTGGCACTTCCGTGCCATTCCATGAAAAGCGGCGTATGGTCCCCAAGTAATAAAAAGCGTGTGCCCTAAACGAGAAAACAATGGGCGGAACTAAATAAAATGGAATTTTGAAAGGGGATCAGAGGTTATGAAGCCTGCGTATCACAGATAAGACGTCAAAAGACAAATTTAAAAAGCAGGCAACATATCCTAAGGGTGATTCAACATTATTCAAGTAGGAATATTGATACCACCCAACTAGAAAATGCCGAAAAGTTGAAACTAAAAATACCACAAGCACAACAATAATGTCTTGCTGAACGATCTTCAAGGATCGAAAATATAACATCATTGATTAAATGTACGGGGAGACTTTTTACAGCCGCCACACGGCACAAATAACACGGATGTGATCATAAAATAGATATATACAGAATCCCTAAAGAAAGCCCAACACGGCGAAATTGAAAATGTTGCAGGCTCGGTTTGATTGAGCCTGTTCATGGACGATATTGGAAAGTGCAAGTTACCGTCCACGCCCCCTAGCACCGGCTTAAGCAGAATTCAACATTTAAACGTGAAATAGTAAAATTTTGAATTTAAAAACATGCGCAGATGTGTTCATACGGCGGTTATCAAGTCTCTCTACACACGAGAGTTGACGAAAGAGGTAAGGCTTGAATACAAAATCTGCATAGTCCTGAAAAGACTGACAGCCTGTAGGTTTCAACATATTCACAATGACAGCACCATCTAAAGCTGCAGCATCAACCTCAGGAACCTCAAGTTTGACTTGTGAATAAACCTCAAGGCAAGAAACAAGATCTGACTTTGTTCCAAACCTCAAATTACCAAACTGAGACAGAGATGGCGGGAATGCAGAATTTTCATGGACAAAGAATTCATCAAGGTTACCATTTCGAACCTGACATGCCACGTACAACCGGGAAAACAGAGACCGGTCCTGCTTAAGATAAGATATTTGCTGCTTATCTTTCGAGAATTTTTCGGGGATTGCCTGCTGAAGAGGGGAAATTTATTTTGCTTAATAGCATCTGTTAGGTTTTTATCTCTGCTTTCTAATCTTTCTAAAACAAAAGTTTGGAACTGCTCTTTTCCAACCTGTTCAATCTGTCGGACAGTTTCGACCACACCCTCATCGGCAATATTCCGGTTATTTAGATCCATCAAATCACCTGATGAATCAAGGAAAGGATTTCCCATGTCTTGGATTTTTTCACAAAGAGAACGAACATGCTTCTTAAATCTAGTTTGAAAGAAACTTTGTTGTTCATGATGACGGATGTCGGGCCCTTTACTCTGTTCAAATTTCAACTTGTCCACAGATGTTTGATTTCATTAACAAGCCTTGCCAATTCAGGGCCAGACACCATCCAACGCAACAAGTGACTAGCATTCTCTGTAAAATAGATAAATACAGAATCCCTAAAGAAAGCCCAACACGGCAAAATTGAAAATGTTGCATGCTCGGTTTGAATGAGCCTGTTCATGGACAGTACTGGAAAGTTCAAGCTACCGTCCAAGCCATCTAGCACCGGCTTAAGATGTATTCACCATGTAAAGATGAAAACGGTGAGATTTTGAATTTAGAAACATCCACAGATGTGTTCATACGGCGGTTATCATGGAACCTTCAATGTGACACAGTAGTGCCATTACCTACAGCACCCACATCACCTTTGATTAGTTATTTTGCTCATGTGCATGATCAAGAGCAATAGCTGAAAAGGAATGATGTGTTTTATGGACAACAAACTTTCCTTCAGCAAACTTGGTAGCAATATCGGGATTTCTTTTGTCAAGTAATATCATGTCCCTGATATGAATAGACAACCAACGAGCATAGTTAGGGTGGTCAAGAGCAAAAAACCATGGGACGAGGGACAGGAGGGCCTCTTTATACAATAAAAAATTCCCCTCCCTCAAGGCTTTCATAAAAATTAATAGAGAAACCTCAAACCTCAGAGTCACTGACCAGAACATAAACATTGGGGAATTGATTTCCATCTGTGACCGCCAGTCTTCAAATGTAATGTCACCAAAATGACAGTCATCTTTGGCATCAAATGCACGATGCATCAAAACAAACAAACTTGAAGCTGTCACTTGATGGGCATAGAAAGTTCTGCCAATATGTGAGGCCTTCAGGAAAGAGTCAGCTGTACCAGGAGATGCAACATTAGCTTGCTCAAGTGCACTTGTCCAACCACTGTTTTCAAGCCAATCTCCAAGAACCTTAAGTGCTGCTATCTCTATATGTAGCCCCCCAAGCATAATAACATAGCTATTTTCTCCAAATAAATCAGGCCAGGTCCATTGGATTTGTTTTGATAAGGCATACAAAGGTTGGTCGCAAGCAATTACAGGGGTCTGGCCAGGATTAAGATAGTTAGTAATGTTTTTAACAATATTCATTGAATGCTTTATCATAGCTACAGACTTTG